ATGTATGAAACACTTTCCAGTGTGTTCTGTATTTTATTTTTTAACTAACTGTATGGAAAGTTGTCAGTAAAGCCTTTGTCCAAGGATCAATTTTTAACCCTGTGCAGTGTACTGGTTTAATGAAGTCCCCTTTGAAATAATGGAGCATGTGGTACTTCCCTGCCCTCTGGGGTTTTCCCCCTACTTGCATAGATATACCTTTCTCTCTCTCACACACACACACACACCACACACACACACACACACACACAAAATTTCTAGGTATCTATCATGACTAGCTTAGAGCATGCAGAATCCAGCACTGAAACTTATTTGTCTACAGGAAAACCTGTATACTCTGGGCCTTTCTCCCTGGAACATTTACAACGACCTGGGTGTGTCTTAACCACTTAAACAAAAAGCTGCTGCTCCTTCCCCTATCTAGTCTGCTTTAAGAAAATACAGCTGTCATTCTGATGTACTTCAGGTATTGTATAATAAGCTGCCTCATTTCAAGACCTCGAAGAAAGCAGGTGATGCTTTTTTGCCCAGTGTATTGGTGAACCTGGCAGAAATGTTAGCAACCCTGAAAAACTGGTGGTGACACACTCATTGTCCTGTAATCTGTGCCGGGGGGAAGTAGGGAGAGAGTTCTTCAGGTGACATTGCCATGTTCAGGCTACCTTTCAAACTAGAACAACATGAGGACACATCAGCTTCCTTGGTTCCTTTTGCTTTGGGGGCAGACTGAGCTGTGGAATCATAATGTAGCTATTTGGTTTATGTAAAGGGGTGTGAACTTCGGGGATTAGCAAACCTTCCCATGGAATGCTTGAGCTACAGGTTCAGGGAAGAGCAAAAAACTTTTAAAATCTGTGTATTCATTTGCCTGTCTGGCCAAAGACTCACCAGGCTTACAATGAGCTTCTAAAACGTAAGTGGAGCGTAAGTTTCTGAGCTACAGAGGTGCAGGTTTTCCCAGGGGTAAAGAGTACAGGGGGATGGCAGGTATCTAAGTTCTAGCTCAAACCTCTAGCAATTCAGGAGCCATTGGGAAGCAGGCATTCAGTAAACTTTCCCTTGTGTAGGACTGAACCATAACTAAAACTAACCAAGTCAGCTGTCAGCACTAATAGACCTGCAGGGTACGGAGCTATGTACCAACCACCAGGACACAGACGCCTGCCTTCTGGCAGCTTTTAATTGAGACCTGAGGCAGCAGGAACTGAGCAATCAGTGATTGGAAGGGGGAGGGGGATATCTGAATCTTTTTAGTCAGTAAGCCTGTGATTAAATACTCTCTTGAAAGCACCTCATGGCCTCCCTCTCAATTCTTCACAAGAAGGTTCAGCATAGCACCTGCTTCACACTGGAAAATGGGCTTGTCCTCAGTTAAGTTCAACATTTACTAGGCATGTAATATATATATGAGACACATTTTGCTGGGTGCTGGACCTGAAAAAAATTAGTGGACGGATTGGAGGGTCAGAATTATGGTCTGCAGCTATTTGAAATGAGGTTATGTGAATAAAAGTCTTTTAGAATGCAAGCTTCCCCAACCATCTTTGAAAAGTCCTGAAAAGCACCGAAGACTCATCTAGGCTAAAAAGTTAACATCGGGGCAAAAGGGCATCATGATAGAGGGGCTACCCTTGAGCCATGGAAACAATTACCTTAGAACAAAGCCCAGATAACATTAGACTTCCACTGCCTAGCAAACTCATCTTAGAACTCCACAAAGTGAGTACTTAACAACCACTGAGGAAGATGAGAGCTCCAATGGAAGAGGCTCTGAAGGCTTGTTTTTTAAGTTGAAAAGGATGATATGTACTCTGGCCATCTGGAATTCGTTTCAGTGAACTTGAAGTGGAACTTACCTCAGGTAATCAGGAAACAGGTTCCTTGTTAAGACCTGTCTTTCAGGAGTGAATCCCAAGAAGGAAACTGACTCTAAGGGCATTTTCAGGAATAACCATGGAATTTCAGGTTTCAGAATTTACCTATTTTTGACAGTTTTAGAGAACCCTTTCCTCTCCTCCAGCAGGCAGCTAGGAAGCAACTACAGTTAGAGAATTGAGGACCACGAAGAGCAGGCAGGTAAGCTGGAATCCTGAGCTTTTGGGGGGGACTCAGAGAAATGAGGCCATGTGCTGGACTGCTGGGGTCCACATGATCCTTTAATTCTTGGGGAGAGATAAGAGTTTAACCAGACTCATGGACTGTTAGAGCTAGCTGGGTCTTTAGGCATCTTACTGGATGTAAATAGACCCTGAGCAGGGATGTGGTTTTGCCCCCATCCTTTTGGTCAGGAGCAAAGACATATAAAATCTCCCCTAAGGTGGTTAAGGCCACCCTACAATGGAGTAACATTTTTAAGCAATACCTGAAGCCTTAGGTTTAGGACCAGAAGCACACAGATAGCCTACAGACAAGAAGTGGTTAGTACCTCCAGGCAGTTCAAGGAAAGGTTTACCAAACGAGAGTGTGACCTGGAATTTGCTTGATGCTGCAGAACTTGCCATTTCCTGCTTATATTATCATCTAGATTAAAGAGCTTGGTTCCCAGAGTAGTGCTTCCCAGCACTGGAGTCAGATCCTAATGAACTGAAGTCGGCCATTCTACTCTTCCTTCCCAGGGTCAGAGTGGTACCTGCCATACTTCTAACTGCCCTCGGCTGCGCATACACAAAAGCCCTTTAGCTCTTTCCCCTGTCTCCACACCTATGTCTTAGTCCCACCAGTGGTCCCTCTGGGCAGCACCCTGGATATTATCAGTGCCCATATTTAGAACCTAACCCTAGAGGCCTATCTTGCTACTACAAAGAAATTGGTAATGTCAACTCAAGATTTTTTTTTAAAAAGTTTACTACTTATATGGAATCTACAAATATGTATTCTCTTTTAGGGTAGTTTAGATTGGTGGCCTTAAGTCTTTGGTAATCTAGACAACCTAAGGAAGAGGCAGGAAGGTGTTTATTCAGTCCTTCCCAGGGGTGTATAACTCTAGGGGCTGTAACCAAGTCAACCAAACCCAGGTTTCCTGATGGGAGTCATTGCCTCTCATTTCCCATCCCCACAGGATCTGTTTCCAAGTTTCATTTAGCCAGCCACATTTCAGAGACACAGTTAAGTCCTATGGTTGGCTGAAGGAACCTTACAGGATTTCACAGAGTTGTAATCCCAGAACTTAATTAGATGTAGAAGGAACCTTAGAAATCATATACACCAATCCCCTTGTTTCACATCTGAGGAAATGGTCTGAGAGAGGAAGATAACTTCGTCAAAGTAACACACTGATTTAGGAGTAATGCCAAGTCTAGAACTCAAGTCTGACTCCTAAATGCAATAAAACTTTATTTAAAAATGCCAAAGCCATTCTTTGCTCCCTGACCACATGCAAACAGGCAGCAGACTGGATCTGGCTCACAGACTGTATTTCCTGACTCCTGGAACTTAAGTGTCTTACCTTTCTTTGTATCCCCAGCACTTAACACAGTGCCTGACACATTTACTAGATGTTAACTGACCCAAGTGACTAAATCGGGAATATGATTTTTATGCTGCCTTTGATCAGGGACAGAAGTTGGATAAGGTGCCCTCCCAGGTTGAGTTAGTAACCAACTCCTATTTTAGGCATAAGGAAGATATAGCTAGTGTCTCAGCATTTCTATCCTCTTGGGAATCAGAACATATTTGTATAGTATGGGCCTGATAATATATCCTAGGCTGATAAGCCTATCACCATCCAGCTATCTGAATTATCATTTAACTTTAAAACCTTTTCCCATAACCCTAACCAGGAGTGGGGAACCTGCAACCTCAAGGCCACATGTGGTCTAGGTCCTCGGATGTGACCTTTTGACTGAGTCCAAGTTTTACAGAACAACTTTTATTAAGAGGAGTTGTTCTGTGAAGTTGGATTCAGTCAAAGGGCTGCCCTTGAGTGCTACATGTGGCCATGAGGCAAGTTCCCCACTCTTGGGTCTATCACCACCCCCACAACATAAGTGAGTTGAGGTAGGAGCTTAGAAGCTGTTGCTATAGTAGAATCAAGAAATGCTTAGGACCGGTGGCCCTCACTATAGAATTCAGGGTGGTGGTGATCCTCTTCAAGGACAGGGAAAGGGTTTGGACATGTGATTTCATTAGTATGGGGAACTCTTGGAGGAGGAAATCCTCTCTCTCTCTAACAAAGCAAGTTGGCACCTCTCTGCAATTGGTAGGCTTAAGACAGTTACCTAATGCATTAAGAAGTTAAATGACTTGCCTAGAGTCAGCCAGGATGTGTCGTTGTCAGAATCTGAATCCAGGTCTTTTCTTGGTTCTAAGGCCATTTCCCTATCTACTTCACCATATGTCCACTACCTCAGTATCTCTTCAAACTTTTACTTTGTCTCCTAAGAACAAAGCAGCCATGGTTGAAAGGGAAAGAATTACCCTTTTTCAATAGTTCCATCCATCTTCTGGTAAGGCTAATCCTATTCCTTCTTTCCAAACATCCTTTTTTCAAAGGTACCCTTAGCTCCTCCTCTCCCTCATTCCCACCTGTGCAGCTGGACACTGACTGTGGCCCAAGTGATCAGGCAGAGGCTCTAAAGCTTTGTTGTCTAACGCTTCAGAATTCACCAATTACAACTCCCTTTCCCAGGAGCCCTATTCTCCTTTCCACCTCCTAGGGAATTCGGCTGACACCAATTCTGCCATATCTATGACCTACTTTCTTGAATCCAAAGCATGGAAGGGTTGAGGGGGACCAGCCCATACTACATCCAACCTAAGAAGCAGCTATCTAAAAAGACAGATACCTCCACCCCACCCCATCCCCACCCCACATGGAAATGGCAGAGTGGATCTGGCTAGAATGACTCAGCTCTTTGCTTCAATGCAGTTCTTGAGGGGAGAGCCCGCAGAGTTTTACCGCATTGTTACTGCTACTGTCCCTAGAGGACTGAAGAAATCTGTCTATATTGGGAGGGAAGGGACTCACCTACTGCTGGAAAAAAGAGAATAGGTAAAGGCCATAAACAAAGACAGACTTGTAGTTTATTTTGTATTTTTTTTAAATAAATACACTTTACATTAAAGAAAAAGGCCTTTGATTTGTAATTTCCACACAGAAGAAAGGGGAAAAAAAAGATTAAAAAAAAAACTGAATCACGAAGAAAAATAGAGGGAGTGAACTTATATCACAAGTTCCCTCATCTCCACAAAACCAGTATCCACAATGACCAAAATGCTAGGACTTGCTCCTGCCTGCCATTCTGTAAGGGTGGGTGAATGAATGTGTGCATATACATGGCAAACAGCAGTCAATGTCTGCCTTCCTCCCCAGCTCTGGCACGAAGGCACCTCAAGTCAAGGAAAAAAACACCAACATCCTGACAGCATGAGGCAACAAAACTTTTTTTTTTTTAAAAATCATATATTATATTTATAATAAAATAGTCTTAATCCTTATCAATTTAAGAAACCACGATTTTCCTTTTCATTTTAAATACTTGTGTAAAAACGCCTCTTTATATTGATCTTTGGGCATCACTTTTTCCCAAAGGAAATGAAGCTTAGGGGACAAGGTACCCGGTGGATATAAGTTCACACCCTCTTTGCTATAAACACCTGCAATTTTTTTTTTTTTGCTTTTATATAAAACTATTTCTTGTTCTTTAGTAAAGAACTTTATACAAAGAAAATATATTGTGAAATATCCCCAGAGAAGTGGGGCTTTTCCTTAAGGAAAGATTTGTCCATCCTGGAGGAAGTGGGGAAAAGAAGGCAGAAAAAGGGCCTAACCCCTGATCTCTTTATTAAATGGCCACTGTTGGGCACAACTGATTCTCTGCTTAAGCCAAAACCCTCCAAGCTTGAAGCCTACAGGTTGTCAAAAAGCAGCTATCCCTGGGAGAGGGACAGCGACAGGGATGGGAGAGAGGGGAGAAGAGGTGTCAGGGAGGCTTGTTTTGAATTCGCTGCTCATTTGGTCTCCTGCCTGCCAGGAATAGAATTTCTTCAGTGGGCATCCATATGATGATCGCTCCTCACTCATTCAAAGATAAGATGATGTCGTCTTCCAAATCGGAGTTATCTGAGCTATCAGCTGGAAAAGTAAGAGAAGAAAAAGGGAGGTAAAGAGGAGGTTATGTGTTGAACTTACAAGAAGTGTTCAGAACGTACTGTGCTCTACCTTTATTCTCCCTGAGTGGGTCAATTATCATTTTCAAGAAAGGAGAAAACATACCAATTAGCTCCTTAGTGTCGGCAGCTGCAAGCACATCTGTTGCTGGCAACCATATCCTACCCTGGGAAATCTCAGCTCAGTGTTCTTTAAGAAGGTCCAAGGCAGTTTAACCTTTTTTTGCTCTTAGGAACACTTCTGCTGCCTGAAAGAACCTATCCAGCCAAAGGGAACTTCAATCCAAGTAAAAAGAAGATACTCAGTGGTCCCAGAAGAAATCACCACCTACAGCTTTAGCAGGTGTCTATGCTGTATAGCCCTGGCCCTAAAATCAGGCCTACTGCAGGGCTTCATGTCACAGAGCTGCAGCCAAGCTCAAGGGATCCTAACACTCCTACCGTGAGTTCAAAGGATGGAGAACAAGAAAAGTCACTCCATATAGTATTGTTAAGACAGAAGATGTGAGACCTACATAGGGGCCCTCCCACCTTAGTGCTACTTGGGCAAAGAGGGCAAATTTTCACAGCTCCGTGTAAGTTGAATCCCACCTTGGTTTCTCATTTAGTCACTTCATTCCCACTTCCTAGAGATTCTGGACTAGAAATGGGGGCTCTCAGTAGGGAGGCTCTGGTTTGAAGGAACTTGGATATTTTCCCCTAAACTTCTCAGACTCCCCTATGATCCAACATTCATCAAATCTTGTTCTGCTATAGAAAGTCTCAGATACACACCATCAGTGTGCCTCTTCATTACCAGCACCACCTTCTAGAGAAAGATGGCCTGTACAGACTTCCAACTATAAACCCTGTGGGAACATCAGCTACCTATGTAGGGTTAGCCATCTCACAGCAATGCCAAAGGAGAGGCTATTTTGAAACTCAAGGTAGGAGTCTGACTTCCTCGTGACTTGCTCCTACTCTCAACAAAACAGGTCTAAGGCCCACCTAGAACACACCACTGAGAATCTTTTATGGATATAAAGCTCTGATAACCTGCTTCATTATGTCCCTTCCCCCTCGCATCTGCCAGGCTATACTAATGCCCTCTTATATAACACTGATTGGAAATGCAAGGAGCCAGATTTGATTCTCTCAGCTGCCTCTACATTTCTGAGGCCTAAATGGCCATTCAAAAGGGGGTCATCATGTATTATTCGAAGTCAAGCAGGACAGAGAGGAAAAAGCCTGCCTCTTGTTTCAGCACTCTTCTTGGCTGTTCACAAAACAGAAAGCATGTCAATGAATGAGAAAACGAAAATTTTCAATAAGTCCTGTAATTCCTACTAAAGGGAATGGGTTAACCAAAGATAAATGGCTTCTCATCTTAGCTACATGACTAGCAAAAGCTTATTCTCTCCTCAACAAGTATAAAGCCTCCAAAAGGGTAAACATCAGGTACCATCCTCTGGGAAGTTTTATTCTTCAGATTTTTTTCTGGTACTAGAGTTACCACCTTTATGGAAATTACAGATAAAACAAAACATTTTCCCAAACGTCACTTCCAAGAAGAAGACATACTGTGATGGAAGAAGTAGACAATCAAGCTCTTGAGCGAGGCTAGACCAGAAGGCAAAAGTAACTGCCCCTGGGGTCAGAGGAGTCACAATCAAGCAAAGGGGACAGGAAGCAAAGATCTCCTGAGAGTTAAGAAAACAAGGAAGGAAGATCAGAGAATAAAGTCCTGGAATTACTGGAGTAAATCAATAATGGCATCTAATCTCATCAATATGCTAAAGCTTTTCTCCAGCAGTCTAAAAGAGGGATGCCAGGAAGCTGGGGGCTCCAAGAAGAGAAAGGAGGCCAACATAGCCTGGTAATAACCCCATGTGTACCTAAGTACTTGACCTTCTTCCCCACAGCCCTAGAGATGTCCAAAGACACAGCCGGAAATGAGGGTATACTAAATGGACCGGGAAAATTTGTTCCAAAGAACTGGACCCAACAGTGGAAAGTGACACCTGACCATCAGCCTCAGCTACATGCACGAGCACCAAGAAAAGGCAATTAAGGGAATTCACATAGCCATAATCCTTCTTAAGCTAGGTTCAAAAAGTTGATCCAACTTTTGGTATAAAAGTGGATGCTGAAAAATTATGTAAGAAGATTGGCTTTCAAGAACACTACTGTTGACAGGTCTCTTGTGTCTTACGTTTCTTAAGGGAAATGAGAAATACCCAAAGCTAAGGGAACTCTGATAGTAAAGATACTTTGCAAATACAATGTTATATAAATACTTTGCCAGACCTCCTCGCCATCACTCCTATCAATATAACTCAAGCTATAGGACTTCCTTCCTATTTATTTAGCCTGTGCTACTGTTTTTTTTTTAAAGCATAGACTGGGGATGCTTGGCAGCATGCACCAAACCAAATACTTAGAAAAGTCCTCTTAGGGCACTGCAAAGTCTTAGAAAACCTGTTGACCCTAAGTAAGCAAACAAATTCACCTAACAGACCAGATTAGCTAGAATATAGGATAACAGGACAATAGCAATGCCCAAGCCTCATCCCCTGAAAACAGGACATCTGTAGCTTAAGATTCTGTTGTCAGCGCCATGACAACTTTGAAAACCAAAGTGGACTAACCACAGCCTGCATTTGCTCTCAAACTCCAGCTAAGACTCATGACATAGTCTGGGTTATTCTCTATGCTCACTACAAACTCTTTTCTCCATCTTACCACCCCAACTTTCCCCTCCCCCCAGCACCCAGCAGAGTCATCATTTAAGCTTCTTCTTAGTTCTACACCAGAAGCTTTCCCCCTCTCAGTAACCTAAGTACTGTGCCTATAGATATGACTTGGGAAAAAATAGTTGCCAAATCTAAAATGCTTGGTGTTCTGGTGGCTAGAACAGGAAGTTATTTTACAAGCCAAACCCAAATTTTGGCGGCCTTGCATTCAAACTAAAAAATTAAAAAATGAAAGCAGTACTCACTTGCATTAGCTGGCACCACCACGAGCTGGACTTTACTCTCCGCCACGGCTGCTTGCCACCCTTTTTAATGTGCCTCACTAATCCCTTGTCATTTAAGTGAATTAAAAATTGAACATGTCGATACAGCTTGTACCCCATGCCCAATTATTAAGCATAATAAAAATGTTTAATAAAATCTGTTACCCCCACTTTTTACATTGATTGCACTGGTATGTTTTATCCACCCCTTACTCCCTGAACAAACCAAAAACCTTCTGCTGAACAGGAACCCTTCCTGGGACAAGGCAAAAGTCTCTCCAGAGTACTGCCCTATCTCCTGGGCTGTCCTACTATCTCAGTCTCCAAGTGCAGGAAACAGAAGCTGATAAACAGCTCTCTCCCCTCTCTCAATAGGACAGATGGAGTTATAGTCCCCAGCTCCTCCCCCGAAAAGAGTTTCCTTAAAACAGCAACAGAAAGAAGGGCTCATGGAAGTGGCTACACAGAAGCCAGTCTCCTCTAAGTTGGTTTTAGACTCTGATCAGAATCAGCAAGATTTATCCCAGAAAAATGTTCTTACATCACGGTTTAAAGGGAATGCCTGAATTATACCTCCAACTAAATAATTTCCTCCCCTCTCTCCCCACCACCTTCCCCACCACCACCAAACCCATCCATTATAAAAACAGGTCAACTATGGCGAGGCTTGGCTTTAATTAGGTCTGTGTTGTGTCCTCTTCTCTCTGGACATAATACCTACCACCTTTAAAAGTGCTGACTGGACTATATATAAGAAAACCCGCTGGAGATCATAGGGGTTATTTCCCCAAAATTCATGAGTTTGGCCACAGATGGGCAGTGAAGCACTACAACGAAACAGAAGAACAGCATGAATGAATCCGCCAGTGATGCACACATCTTACCGAGGGGCTGGTGAGCAGCCTAAATGGGAGCCTGCCCTAAATGAGTGTCGACAGTTCAGCTAACTTGTAAAAATGATCTTATTTTACATCATTAGCTGGCTTTTACAGGACTCCTGAGCAAAGACAAGGGACAACCCTATCTCAGATGCCTATAGGGCCACCCAGTTTGGTTCTAAGGGGAAATTTACTACCTAAGGCTTTGTTGACTTATTCATCACAAGGAAGAGGAGGAAGAGGAAGAGGCAAAGGAAGAAGAAATGCTAAGCAGAAGGGAAAGAAAGGAGGAGAGAGAATGTGCCCCACCACTTCTAAGAGGGAGGAGCCAACAGCAGAGAGGAAAAGGACAACACAATGGACTCTATCACTTTATCTCTTTAGAAATGAATAAATGTTCAGGAGAGCTTCTTCTGACGAATTCAGATGTGCCCCTCAGATGGAACAAACAACTAAATTTTTTCCATCTGATTTAGGAAGTTTAGTCCTCTGAAGGTAAGGGATCATGGCCAGTTGGTTACACAGTTTAGGTGGTGAGATAGCAAATGAACACAGATGCTGACTTTGCCTTTCCTCCATGGGAAATGTACGGTTAGCAGCTGAGGGCAGAGCAAAGAAGACACGTTTGACTCTCCATCTGGGTTGGCATGTAGGAATAAATACTCTCTGATGCTTCCTAGGATCAGAGTGATGGTCCTGTCTATACTTACTGTCTCCCAGTATCAATTCAACTTCCTCATCAGCATCAGAGTCTTCATCTTCCCCTTCATCTCCTTCTTCAAGCAAGTTAGCCAGCTCTTCATCTGAAGGAGAGAAGTCATTATCACCATCCTCGCCAGCGTTCTCATTGTTTTCATCCTCCTCCAACTCTGCCTCCAGCAGCTGATCAGTGTCAAGTTCATCAAGGTCATCTGTGTCATCATCATCTTCATCATCATCTTCTTCCTCCTGTTCTTCTTCCTCCTGCAGAGAAGACAGTAGGTCCATTAGGACAAATGCCTCAAAACCAAACATATGGCAGACGCGTCAGCTTTAGCTTTTCCCAAACAGGTGGTGTGTGAGGGATAGGAGAATTACCTGGGAAGTAACTTACTACCAATTCCGATGCATTTCAGGGTTAGTACTAGTTTAAAATATCAGACTGATAGCTCTGAGATATACAAGCCATGCCTACCCAAAGAAGAGCATAGCACAGAAAGGACATATCTTCTCTAAAGGACTTTGAGTTCAAAGCATTAGGCTGCTTTATCCAGCAAGTTCAATCTCTATTCAACCTTCAGCAGTTTACCTAAAATTCCCCAACAAGGTATTAACAGTTATGCAAAAATCTAGTCATAAGTCAAGAGAGAATTCACTTCATCATTCATTCCTCTCCTGCCTTAGCCAAAGCAGGAAAAAAAAAATTCAAATATGAATCATTTAAATAGGAACAGGACAAGTTTCTTTCAATAATCAAGTAAATTCTGCTTTTTTAAGCTGAGAAAACACAAGCCAGTTAAAGACAAATCAGTACTTAAATTCATCTTCTCAAGATCACACTGCATTTTCAACATCCTAGTCTTGATCTTTTTCATTGTTAGGACATGATGCAGCTATAATATCCCCATTATTCTTAACATAAAAACAAGAGAACAAATTCTTTCATAACTGCAATGCAGGGGAACAAACCCTGAGTGATAATATAATTCAACACACAAGGCTTCACTTTCTTCAGCAATCAACCACAATGTGCTAAACTGTTCATATATTTCTCCCAAGACCTTTTCAGAGACAGAACAGGTACTAGGAAATGAATCGAATGTTTTGCTCCCAATTCCCAAGGCTTTGAAAATTCTACAACCTGTCATTTGTTACCAAGTTTAACTTTGCACAGGAATGTAAATAAACTCCCAGTCCTGGGGCTGGCTCAAATACCCATTACCAAAATGTAATAGCAAAGAGATCCTAATCTCTACTGCAACTTGCATTCAATATGATTCTTAATAATTGGCCCCCCAAAACACAAGTAAAGTGGGGAATGTAACAAACAAGTTCCAAATAAGAAAACAAGAAAATTATAATATCCATCAATTATTTTTAAAACCCCACAAATATCTCTGACCTTCCTTCATCAAATTAGAATTTACTAGCTTGGTTAATTGCTTTCCTGGTGCCTACAATAATGTCTGAACTACGAATGACTTAGAATTGCCAATTGTTACTATGAACTCACAGATCTTTAGAAGTAACACAATGGGTAGAATAAAACCACAACACTAGGAAGTATAACGTTCTCACATGAAGAGAAAAGAAAGGTAGCACATGTAAAACTGAAGCACCTAGTTTACTATGGGGCCAGTTTGAGGTCTACAGCACTGAGTATTGAACACAAAATGAAACCACTGCACCTGTGGGTTATCAATAAACATTAACTAAATTGAAGTGAATCAAGAGTAAGAAAAGTCAAATCACTGCAAAAACACTGAATAGTTAATACTGACACAAGCAAAATGATCAAAACTTAAGGAAAAATGAGTCCTTTGCAATGTCAAAAGAAAAAAACAACAGCCACCACACACAGACCGGATTACAACCGATGGAAAAGCAGTCATCTTTGCTGACATATTTTTATGGCCTTTACCAGCATTTACTGTATCATCATAATAAACAGTTGGTACGAAAGGCAAGCATATACAAAAGGACAACTTTTGGTTCTCTGGTGTTTATGCACTAGATAGAATATTTATCAGCTTTTCAAAATCTCAAGTTAGATGAGAATATACAAAGTTAGAGCAAAATGTTAACTCAAGCAGCTCAGTAAGATACATGCTTCTAGGTCTTAACACCTCACAAAATGTTATTATTACCTTCGATTAGCCGGGAAAACTGGGTAAGGAGAAATTCACAAACCTTTAGTTAAGGCCTATCTCCTAAAAGTAATTCTGAAAAGGTCCTAGCTTTGCAAACAAAACTCCAAATTCACAAGTCCTGAACTTGGGTGGAAATGAGGCAAGGGTCTACCTGGGCCTACAACAATTCTACAAATCCAACTTTTCATTTCATATTCCTGTATTTGAACTAATTCTACACATAGCCATCAAAGAAGATCCAGGGAACACTGCTATAATTATAAGAAAAGTAGGTAAGAGGAATGCATGGAAATCTGCCTGATTAAAAGGAGAACTTGTTGCTTTATCAATAAAACTCAAGTGTTTAAACAACCAATACTAGTTTATTTTCTTTTTCTAAAAATTATTTCTAACATTCATTACTAGTTTATTTTCTATAATATCCTACATGGATATGACTATTATGAATCAAACTCTTCTACGGCCAAAGTACTCTTATAAATACTTCATCTAACTTACCTAGAAAATTAATAGAAAGATTCCAGGAGAATCCTTCTTGTTTTAAGCAGCAAAGTAATCCAGCTTTCACGGTTAAGTATCAAGGTTTTTAGTGAGGGACTGACAAAATGGCCAAAAAGAAAAAGTGGCATCCAGGTTTCCCCCCTACCCTCAGCCCACCCCTGAGTGAAACAAGATTATCTCTTTAGTGGCTTGGGAATAGGATTATTACATAAATACTTTGTATCTACTGCCAGTTCTAAATTCAATTCTTGGGAATAACTATTAATGATCAGTAAACTATAAAAATGTCAGCTATTATTAATGTGTATATGCTTAAATCATTCAACAAAATGTTACATTTTTCTTAATATCTAAGAGAATGCAAGCCTGTTTTGGCATTGTCTTCAGATCTACTTTAACTTTTCTTCCTTAATGATAAATTTTCACCATATTTGATGTCTACCCCATCCAGACACTTGCTATCCTTTAACTAAGAGGTTCCTTCTTCTCTAATAAAGAGGCCTTCTGGGTAGAAGTATTTTCCTTCAAGAACAGAATAGATTGCAACAACTTATAGTTGATGGAGATAATCAAGCCTTATTTTATGATAAAGCTTTTTCTTTGGATGACCACAGCATCTATTTCTAATGAGACCATTCAAAACTCTTCTCTCTGAAAACAAAATAGCTACTTTTCCAACAGAAGTAGCATTAACCATGTTTTTCCAGGCAAATCAAGCCATTGAACAAGTTTAACAGAGTAACTTGTCTTAACAACTGGAACAAGGATGAGACGATTTTTTCACATGTAATTCACACCTGACCCTCGTATCTTAACCCAGCCAGATTGTCTTTTTCAAAATAAAAATTCTGTTCCATACACTTTCTGTAATATTTACTTCTGGGTGTCAAGCCCCCTCAAAAGTTGTCTTTTCATGAGAGGTCTAAATATCTGCATTTCCCTCCCCTCCCCCAGTAATGTCTAACACTCATACATTTAAGTAATTTTACCAGGAAATTTGGGCCTATCAGAAACAATATATTCAACTATGGCTATTATTGATAGGAGTAAAGAATCTTACCATCCGCTTCTATGCAGTCAGAGGACACATGGACGGACACAATACAGGAAACACAGCATACAATGTGTCATAGATTCCAAAATGGAGTGGAGAAAAGATAGAGTTATTCTCTTGTTGAGGTTTAATTTACAAAAAATATGTTTAACAATAATTAGATGACTTCTGCTTGATGATTCTTCAAAATGCCTAAATCTTATGGGCAGCAAATATCTAGCCCTCTTACCTTATTAAGTATATCACTTTCTATAGAGATGTACTACTTAAAGAACAATATTTTAATTTTAAACTTTTATTTGTTTTCACTAAATGTCAATGTCAAAATTACTGACTTGACTATGAAACAGTTATTATAGTCTCTATTAGATTTAATCAAGATAGTAATTTGCTTATTTATGTTTCAATCAAATTACCTTTCAGGTTTGTAGGCATATGACCCTGGGATAACCTATGCCTTGCTGATTCGAAATTAAAACTGTGAACATCTTCTCATGTATAATGAGAAAACAGCACTAGCTTATTCCATCCTGTTGGGGTTAAGTCACTTTGAGGTTCAACTCATTAAATTTTAAAGGAATCTAAAGTGAGTGGAGAAAGATAAACATTAAAATATAGTGTTGTTTTTCTGGTCTTTTCATCTTATCAGACTGCAAAGGGGCCACTCACACTTGACATTATTTTAGTAAGGTGAGCATGCAAAGAGAGATCACTCAAACCTCCAATTCCTGTGCCATAGAAAATGAACAAATGTTCAAGGTCAAATTACTAACATCTGAGAAGATGAGAGCACAAAATTTTTCATATTTCATAAAAAAACAAAAATTGTATAGTAAATGATCCATATGAAAACAACCAGCCTAGAGCTATTAAATACAGCACAAAGGCATACCAATCATAAATGAAACAGAAAAAGAGATCAAAGACTCAGGAAGTGGCAAGATTATGGCCAAAGAAGAGCAAAGAAATGTGATGAAGCAGCAACCACTCCACAAATTCCCATGACTGCAAATGTGACTCAATCAAACCCAAGTTATAAAGTAGCTTTATTCAAAATATATACCCTCATATCCCACCCCCCCCACACATATCTGCTGTTTGAGTCATAAATCAAAGGGCAAGAAAGTAAAGGGTTTAGAGGGGTATGAGAAGTTCACCATCAAGGTACGATTTCAGAACTGGACTTTAGATTAAAGTCTACTCTTAGCAACATTTCCCAGGAAAAGAGAAGAGTACTAAACAGGAAATACTGCAAAGGACCTAATTCAGTGACATCATTTTATCTGCCATCTATAACCCAAAGAAATCTCAAATGACATTTAAGAAATCTGATGACCGATTATCAAGACAATAGATAATATGTAGAAAGTATTCATAAAATGCTGTGGTGATAATAATTGCTAACATTTACATAGCACCTACTATGTGCCAGCATGCTTTTACAATTATTATCTCATTTGAGCCTCACAACAACCACGGGAAGTAGGTGCTGTTACTGTCCCCATTTTACAAATGAGGAAACTGAGGCAAACAGAGGTTAACAGTAAGTGTCTGAGGCTGAATTTGAATTCAGGTCTTCCTGAGTCCAGGCCCAGCATCCTGGGTAATATGGCACCATACTAGCTGCCTTACTAATGATAATAGAACTATGCCACCCCATCAGATTCACGCAACATAAGATTTCACAAAATTAAGGTGACTCACCTCCAACAATGACTGCCTGAAGGTAGTCATGCCATAACATTTGGTGTCTTCGAAGCCTTCCAGAACTATAAAGCACTTAGAGAAGCTCACTTGTTCAGAGTTTGACACCCTAGAAGGTTGCCAGCCTCAGAGCACCTACCTCCCCTTCCCTATATTCTCTTCCTAATCCAAGACATCAGAACTCCTCATCAGTTCACTCCTTTGAGTATTCCCTAAGAATAGTTAAATATCTCACTGTAAAAGAATGAATTCATCAGCCCCTTTCTCCTCTTCTCCATCCCCTCCCTGCCTCTGAGCCTTGAAAAGAAAGCTGGGGTAGAGTGGTGAGAGAAAGAAAACAAAACTCTAACTTTCACTCACCAATGTGTCCCAATCTATCACGAAGCACTCTAGTCCCAAAGGCTTCTAAGACAGTACTCTTTGATTCCGCTGGCTTCCTCTCCCACCCTAATATTTTATATGATCTCTCCTCCCACTTTTGTAAAAGGACAACAATTTTATGGAAAGGTAATTTTCATATCACCTTTGAAATACATATGAGGATGGAAGGAGGGGAGACTTGTTTTTTGTTTTTTTTTAATCAAAGAACTGCAACCTCCTGGAGCTTCGGGTTGGTCTTTCCATTCTGGAAAGCAATTTTGAACTATGCTCAAAAAAGTGACCAAACTAGGTATATCCTTTGACTGACACCCCAAAGAAATTAAAGAAGGAGGAAAAGGAATCATATGTATAAAAATATTTACAGCTACTCTTTATGTGATAGCAAAGAATTGGAAACTAAGGGGGTGTCCATAATTGGGAAATGGCTGAACAAATTTGGTATACAACTATAATGAAATACTATGGTGCTGTAAGAAATAATGAACGGGATGGTTTCAGAGAAACCTGGGAAGACTTGTATGAACTTATAAAGACTGAAGTGAAAAGAACCAGGAGAACAATTTATATAATAACATCACTGTAAAGATAAATAGCTTTAAAAGACTTAAGAACTCTATTCAACACAATGAGCAACCATGATCTCAGAGGACCAATGACTGAAGCATGCTACCCACTTCCTCACAATCAATCAATAAACATTTAAGTGCCTACCACTGTGTTAAGTGCTGACAGAGAAGTGATAAGACTCAGGGTGCAGAATGAGACACATATTTTTTTAGACATGGCCAATGCAGAAATCTGTTTTGCTTTAGAATGTACGCTTGTTAAAAGGGTTTTGCTATTCATTGTTCTTTTAAATGGGGGTAGGATGAAAGACGTGAAAGAAAACAGATTTTTGTTCATCGAAAAAAAATTTAATAAGCACTACAGCCTTCAAAAACATACTACTGAAATTATAATAATTAGCCAGAGTAGTTAAAGACTTCTAACTATGTATAGAGAGGGAAGATGGGAGAGGGAAAGGGAAGAAAGGAAAAACATTACATTTGGGATGGGGGGTGAGGGAAATGAGCTGCAGCAATCCACAAAACACAACACAATATTGCAAAACAGTCTTTAGTTCTTATACAGGCCTCTTCTAAATTAATGATGACAGACTGGCAAGGAAGAAGGCACAGATTTTAAAATCACATAATAAAAGCACACACATTAATTCGACTGTACTCAAGATGTGGTCTTTGACCAATCATCTGACACACCATAAAAGGAACTAAACCATAACTATACTACCATCCCCACTTTAACTAGAAACAACTATTATGAAAGGATTGCAAAACTCAGGTCTCTCAGAAACGTAAATACAGGCATTTAGGGATTTGGATCCACCAGGTTTTCAAAGGCAATAATAAATATGATTATGCCAACAATTTGAAAAATGAACAGAAATACAAGCATTATCACCATGTCTTACTTGAAAGCTTAACCAGTTCAAAATATTCAGTACAGGGTAGAAACTGAATGAATCCAAAAGCCACTTCAGTAGGCAAATATCCTAGACCAGTGGAAAGATGTGGCATTCCAGAGCAACACTAGTTGAGATCACAAGATCAATTGCTAAACATTATGGAAGTCTGCAAACCGGATGGCCTCCAAAAATAAATAAATAGATAAATAAAGTGACCCCCTAAGAAAAATTTAGCATGAGACCCAAGTGAGCCAGATCATCCTGACATTTGCAAATAAAACCAGAAGGAAGGAAAAAATACAAAATGAAACATACATACATACATACATATGTACACACATACACAAATGTAAAAGATATACTGTTTACGGCAACAAGGGCACAACTGCCCCATTTGGCCTCTCTAACATCACATTATCCGATGTGCTATGTGAAGAAATGGCAACAACACACAAAAAGATAAACTTGAAAGGAGAGCTGGACCTGGACAAGTATACATACAGAAAAAAAGTCATGCTGAAGGCATGCAATTTTAAAGATGCCCAGGAGGCAATTTTCAAGGTATTTCAAAGCAAACATTCCAATGGAAAGGGAAAAAGATCACCAAAAAAAAAAGCCCGGGGGGAGGGTGACAGGGGATGGAACACAAAGCTAGACAGGTTTTTGCAACTTTTTGTTTTTTTAAAAACAAATCATCACAACTTTATGCTCACATAAAAGAAAGGTGTAAGGAACGAACACAAGATCCCTCCCTTCGTATCACATTATATCTCATGCATACATCAAAATCAGATAACACACTACAACAGACGACTGCAAAGATTACAAACTGTCAGCTCTGATCTGCTGAATACTGACCACATAAAGTGTTAAACAAGAAGATATATGTTCACAAAAGGCATTCATCAATTTAATGGAATAAGTCCTGCATGAGGTCCAAACAAACAAACACTAATTGTGAGGCTAAATATTTGATCCATTACTGACAAGGTGCCAATTGCATTAGGTCTTCTAACACTACAAAGCCTTTTGCACAGTACTGTGAAAGAGACTGATTTAACTATGCACACTGTAAAAACAAAATAGATCAAAACTGTGTATCTCAGACAGCTGAACCCAGAACTGAAAATTAAAAAAAAATCAGGTTAGTTTGAATTTAGAAAACTGTGTAGTACCTTTAAATGATTCCAAAGCACTTAAACACTATAAAAATCTCACCTCTCCAACGCAAATATATTCTCCTAGTAATATAAATCATGGGACACCATGGTTATTAATTTAAGTACATTTAAGTAGAGTGCACATATACACCAACAAAACTTGAGGACATGTGAGACTAGCCAGGGAAGTGACAGCTCACATAGCAGGAAGTGAGGACAAGCAGATAGTCTCAGCAACATGATGATAAGCCCCAAGATATGAAAAGAAAGAGTTAGGCAGGTGGGTCCCTTACAGAGAATGTTATGTGAAAACACAGTCAAGAATCGTACAGAATATGATGCTATAGAAAGGTTACAATTTCTGTGACATAAATTTATGGACCCAAAGAACAGTTTACACCTAAAGCATAGTTCTGCATAATCAATTGTTATTATTAACAGAGCCTGAAACTAACAAGAAGCAATATGTGCATATTAAATATTGTAACTCTTTAAAGTACATCAAAACCAAAGTAAAAATTAACAATTTTTAAAGTCTATTTGAAAAGAGCTTGTAGAATACCTCAGTATTATTTTTCTAATAACTTACAAAAGTGTTAGTCAGTCAATAACATTATTGAGTTTGTCCTTGTGTGGCAACACACTCTCTCTCTCTCTCTCTCTCTCTCTCTCTCTCTCTTCCTCTCTTCTATCTTATCCAATCCCACTGCACCAAAATATAATCGGTTGTCATGCTGCCCCAAAACAGGGGATGGAATGATGACTCAGAAGTACTAGTTATAAAAGATATAAAGTGTTATGGTTGAATTTTCATAAGTGGATGTCCTTTCTATTAGCTTTAACATCTAACACTGTAACACTCAGCAAACAGTGGCTGATACTCCAGGACACACACTACAAATGGGTTTGCTAATGAATGAGTATTTGGTGAGGCTGGGATCCCACTTACATGGCCTAATTAGTTACAGCTACTATGCTAGACCACTTCTACTGAACCTCTGGGTCAATTTGCTAATTTCTTTCAGTAGCTTTTCTCAATTAAAAAATACCTAAGTCAAACTCTAAATGATTGTCTCAGGGACCTCTAGAGGCTAAAATTTTAACCATAAGATGGCAAATGATGAGACAATCACTGTGCCAATCAGGTCACAACTTTTTCTCCTGGTGCTTCAAAATGACCAGCTTCAGGACCTATCCAACCAATGTATGTTGTGATTTAAAAAAAAAAAAAAGAACTTTTAAGATCTGCAGTTAGGAAACATAAATATTCTCTATACATAGGAAAACCCAGCAGCATAAAGATAGCTGATACCATTTGATGACTGACTCAGGCTCGTAAAGCCTGTATATTTTGGATGGATACTCCTACTCTTATTATTTATAATGAACATTATATGTATATAGCACTATGTGTTCTATTTTATTAATTTTAAGTATTTTATTGATGCTTTTACATCACAGTCATTTCAATGCCCTACTCCCTTGTAACAGAAAAAAGTAAAAATGACCAAGAAAGATACCAAGAAAGAAAAGAGTTTTGTGGGCCACACCATGAACCTGGAACCTTTGAGCTAAGGCACATATTCCATATAGAAAGAAACCAAATATACTTTGGTTTGGGCCACTGAACTAGGCCCAATTATGTATTCAGGCCCCAATAAAGGCTCCACTCTAATCTAAACAAGGGCAATAATCTGCCCTTACACTCAAGAAAGGGAAATTCTGCAATCAATTATAAATCTCCCTCTCAGACAAGATGCATGGAAATCAGTAAGAAAATGCTCTATGAAACAGAAGGTAATGCTTGCTACTCAGCCTGAAAGCTACAGAAATTGTGAGTGCCAATAGTGATCGCACTTTGAAGTTGGATGAAAAGTATTCCGTAAATATGCAGATGTAGATATTTAATTATCCTGATTCCCCTGGGTTAAAGGGATAATCAAGTCACAAGGACAAGCAAAGTATTCATATCCTGCTTCAGATACTAAAGAGCAAATGTTTGAATATCAAATCAATAAGACAAGTCACTAATGTGACTTCACTACAGAAAATCTCACTTATTTCTCCCACAAAATTAAGTTATCATGTTCACGCCAAACCCCAAACCAAACCACTCTGGGCTTTACTTGTACAACAAAATTCCATTTGTAAGAAGATGCTTCAGAAAATGGAAGTAAGTATGAAGACAAGCTATTTGCTAAGTATGTTAGTTAACCTTAACCCAATATGGCTTTAATGGTAAAACAAAACAAAACAAAACAAAAAAACCCACACATAATCTATTCCACTTGCTTCTATCAATCACGCTTTCCCTAAGTAACAAATGTGAAGAGGTGGGATGTAGAAATAAGGTATGGAATGGAACAAACACAAAAGCAAACATTTTGTTAATTCTTTATCATCACATACACAAAGAGGCAGCATGATATAGTGGGGAAAGACTTGGATTCAGAGGGCTTTAGTTCAAATCCTTGTTCTGTGACTCTGGGCAACTCATTCCACCTTGTGGGGAGGGAGTTTCCTCATCTGAAAAATGAGAGAGTCCCTTCTAACTCTATGCTGGTAATCTGGTGTGTAATTCTGTCATCTCTCTCCTTTACTCTATGCCTTTTTTGCTGTGTGCCCACCTAAAACAAACCAGAGGAAAAACGGTGGAAGATCTAAATTTAGTTCAATATTCATTTATTAATTTACTACATATGGCAGGCACTATGTGAGGCTACACAAACATAATGACAAGATAGATAATGCAGGTATGCAGACAGAAAAAAAAGAGATAGAGACAGATGGGTAGATGGACAGGCTAGGGTAGACTAGGACAGATTACTCCATGATAAATAGGAAATGAACCTCAGTGTTACCTCACCTGGTTTAAACCTGCAACAAGGGAAATTCTCATCTCAAATATCAATAAGTCAAAATCTTCAACAGATAATTGGTTCTCAAACATTCTATTACCCCCTCCAGAAATATACTATTCCTTGGGAAGCTAAAGTATAATAACCTGGCATACAAAAAAAACCCCCTTTTTCTGGAAAATGAATGTGATATATTGAGCATAGCTACAGAAAAAGAAGCACTAAAACTCTCAATCATGAGAAACCAAAGCACACGTTGCCAAGAGGTATCACATCTACAAAACATACACCCAAACACTCAACAGACAAGCCTGTTCCCCTAAAAATACTACCAAGACAATTCCTAATCTAAAAATTCAATTCAGCATCTAAGTGGGGGCTATAGATCTTGCCCTATGCTTTATGACAGAAATGCTAAAACAACAAAGTTCACCCTCAAGAAGCTTATACTTCAACAAGGTATTATAAGTACTCAAAAGAATTATGGCAGAAGGCAGAATGTGATAAATGCAAATGAGAAATTCCAGACAAAATGTTATGAAAAATTTAAGGAAGGAGAAATCACTTTCAGATGGAAGAATCAGAGAAAGTTTCATGAATGTGGTCTTTAAAAGAAGTGAAGGACTTCAACAAATAAAGATATGAGGGGAGTCCATTCCAGTATGAGGGATGGTCTGTGAGAATGCACAGAGGTGGAAGACAGTAGGATGAGATGGAGAAGCCTGTAGTACAATTTGGTTGAAATATCAGAGTGTATGAAATAACAATGGAAAGGAAGGTTGGAGACTGTAGAGGACCCTCAACTGCCAGTGTATGAAATCTACATTTTATCCTGTAAGCACTGGACAGCAAGTTATCAAGCAATGCAATGACCTAATTAGATCTATGCATTAGAACAACTTCGCATTTTGACAACTGTGTGAAGGACACACTGGATAGAAGAAATTAGAGGCAGGAAGACCTGTTAGGAGGCTATGAAAACAGTCCAGGTACAAGGTAACAAAGGCCTGACCTATGCTGGAAGCAGAAAAAATGGAAATAAGAGATAGTAAAGAGGGATAACTGATAGGACTTAAGCAACTGAGTAGACTGGACAGAGGAGGAGAGAAATAAAGAAGTCAAAGATGATTCTGACATTAAACTGAGAATTCAGAAATAACTTCCCATATAAAATAAATATTTCATTAATTTCCCAAAACATCAAAGCATTCTCTCTACTAGCTACTACTTCAATGAAAAAGGTTACATATTACAATATTGAAAAAATATATTCAAATATTGAGATAGTCAACTGGGTCATAACATTTCCATACCACAAATTGTCTGAGCAATTTTCAATGCTGTTTCCCAACACAAGATAACAAATACTATTCACCTAACATGATTTGTATGTGAACAAGCCAGGAATTGTACCATCTAGACAAGTTTTTCATGGGGAATCAATGTAACAGAAGCTGAGTTCTATTATACACCACTGCTGTGTACAGATTAACCTATGTGAACTTAAAAGTGGTGTCTCTGATTAGTGGCTAAGATTTACAGTAACCGTGATTAACTTCATTCAATTTTTGTATTGCAGTTTCCAAATACTAAAAAGTGATGAAAGGTTATAGCAGAATTTAGTACAGACTGGAGTAGACCTCCAAGAAGGAACACTAATCATATCACGAAGCACTTTTTAGCAATAAAAATAATGGCTCCCACCATGTTATTTTATTTGAAAGAAATTCCAATAAAATCCACCCACCTGATCCTCTTCCTCATCCTCATCTTCTGCCAGGCGCTGCCTGCCCACCTCATACAACCTGCATACTGTGTCCATGTTCAGGGCATCCATACTGCCTTGATTCTAAAATCCACCCCACAAAATATAAGTCAGTGCATGATAGAATTTAGGTATGTTTCAGCTTTGACCTACTTGCTTCAATTACCTCCCTGGGTCAATTAACATAAGTGATGCTTGCAATAACAAATGTTGTTAAGCAGACTGCAAATGTTATACTATACCTAGAGCACAGAGAAGGAAAAGCAGTACAAGAAGGCTTAGGTGCTATCACAATTAAGTGTGTGTGTGTGTGCACACACACACACACACACACACACACACGCACGCACGCACACACAGAGACAGTGCTACATTTCTCCCATACTGAATTTCTCAAAAACACATCACTCCCTCACCCCCCAACCACCCAAACCCTGGAAACAGGTACATAAGGACTACTCAAGATATCTAATAACAGCAGTAGACGCTGGTAATACACTTTTCAAATATCATCCAATATAATCCTCCCTAAAGGCTAAGCATGATACAAATGTAGCAAAAATGAATTAACTATAAATGCTCTGAATAAATTCTATTCCAGATAATCTATATTTCTCAAAGCATCCTTTACCTCAATAACAGCAAGGTAACAGTCCTTAGTGTCAGTGCACAGGTCAAAAATATTCCGTTTCACATCAATGGTAGCTAGAAAACAGAATGTGGCAAAACTCAGAGAATTATGTTATTGCATTCTTTTTCTTTTAAAGAATTCAACACACTTTCAGAAATCCTAGTCAGCTCCGTTTTTCATTTCCCCTTCCTAACTCCCCTTGCTTTTCTAAATAAAAGAAAAATCACAAATTTTCAAAACAAAAAAGCAGGAACAAAGTTGGCAAGTCTCCCTTTGTCAGTTAGAGTCATTTCTTCATAGGAAACCAAGATAATTGTAAAAACAAAATGACAATGAGTGTTTGTGTATATGGATATATCTAAATACACACATGTGCGCGCGTGCGTGTGTGTGTGTGTGTGTGTGTGTGTGTGTGTGTGTGTGTGTGTGTGTGTGTGTTTTCCAGGAACAGGTAAATATTAAAGCCTCCCCAAGAAAAAAAGAGGATTTGACATTAGGAATGCACATTCTTCCACAAAACACACATGCTTACCTATTTTTTTCATGCTTACCTATAGGCTTATAGTCTGTTGCATTAAATGTTCTGAAAGATGACCCAAAGGGGCTTTTCATCCTCTCTTCCATTAAGTCATCTTCATCATCAGCCTGTAGCATAGCTAGTTTATGAGAAGAGAAACCACCCCACCCCGACAAGATATTTAAATTTAATCACAGATACAGACAATGTTGTCTTTTAAAAACCCAAGGGTATTGGTGGAATTTCCACTATGTTTGGTTATGACTCTTCTGGATACATTCTCCTGGTAGTTTCCACAGGTTTGTCTCTAATAGTCTCCTTCACTTGTTTACTTCCCCCTGGTGAAATGTTTTAGCAGTACAACCAATGTTCTCTAACATCACAAAACCGCTAAACAGAAAGCAAACTATGAAGATCTGGTAATTTTACAGAAGGTAAAGATGTCACGAAGACTGGAAGCTAATTTCCAAGAGATTTCACATCACTGTTACACAATATTTGGACTTAACATCTTTACTAAGTTACTAAGAATTATAAGAATTAGAATCTGTATGACTTTAAATCAACACTTTTTTAAAAAGTTTTTTATTTTCTAGCCTGCTGTCTTATGAAAGTACTTTGTTTTTAATTCATGAATTTCCAAATGCTTTCCAGTGCAAAGGAGAGAAATATTCCCAGAGTAAAATCACACAGTACTCTGGCAAGTTCAGGAGCTGGACAAAGAAAGACAGAGAGGAAGGGGAAGAATGGAAAGGGCACGTGCATTACCTCCATACATCACTGTACCAGTATAGTTGAAAACTACACGACACTGATCCAAAGCTGGGACTGTGTGCAGCAGATGGAAAGTCCGCAGGTCCCACTGAAAGAACAGCAGTGAAGGAAGAGCCCCAGCAAAGAATGTTTCTCAAAGTCGTTCTCAGACCCACGAGGAAAGTCGACAAAGAAGCAAACACCCACTCGTTCCACTTCTTAGTCTGTCAGGACTGACTCTGATGAGTGGCGCCTCTGAGCTTCCTCCTACACTACGGGCACCAGAACAGTGCTGCTACAACACACAGAAAAGCTGGAAGCTCCAGGACAAAGATGAGGCCGAGAGCCACCTCATAATATCAAGCAGATGCCATATAAATAGTGACCAGAATCAGAGGAAAGTGTTTTTTTTTAAAGGCAACTGGGGCTAAGTGACTTGTCTAGGGTCACATAGGTAGTTAAGTGTCAAGTATTTGGTCTGAGGCCAGATTTGAATTCAGGTCCTCCTGACTCCAGATCTAGGACTCTATCCATTGTACCAACTAGCTGCCCCAAAAGTATTCTAATCTAATCTACCTTCCTGCACATGTAAAAACTACAAAAAAAAATTCCCTTCAAATGGAGGACTTTCTCTCTAATCTGTTAAGTAAAACATTTAATATACTTGAAATAAAACCTCACTGAAGCTCAATAAGATAATTTTTTTAAAAAAGTTTAGTCATTATTTCCAGCAATACAGAAAAACATGATTACCCATGTAATCAGTTATTATTAAAAATCTCTCAAAGTTCTCTGAAGGCTCAAGGACACTTCAAAACAACAGGAGCATCTACTTACATGTAACACAAGCCTCAGTTATGAATTTCTCATTCAAAAATTTTAAAAGATGTTTTTCATATTGGATTTTTTGTTTCTTGTAAAGAACTCACAAATGCCTAGTGAATGGATATGCAGACAGTTTTTAAAAAAATGAAAATAGTACTTGTCTAGCTCGGATTATTTCTTACAGTCTGCCAATGGTAACTGGAGGCTATATGCAATGTTATTTTTAACACTTTTTTAGGCACAACACAGCTTTAATAAGTTATCAAAAAAGCAGGCTGTTGAGAAAAAAATAATTTTCTTTCAAATTAACCTAATGTACTACTAGTTTCAAATTAACTACTAAATCAAGATTTCCTTTGAATTACACAGCAGAAAGGCAGTATTTTGGCTAATTAAATTTTGTATGGCAACAGAATAAAAAGTTAAAAATCAAATCAGTTATACAAGTTTTGCCATACTACACAAAACCATATATATCTGCAAAAAACAGTGGCTGACTAGCTTTTTCACTTCTCTTCCACATATTTAACACATTACATGATCAGCCTATAAGACAGTACAAGGGATAAAACTGAACTAAATGGATGTTAGTAAAAAATCAATGGAATTCTCTTTCTAGCCTTCTGCACCACAACCAGACCTTAACATTAACAGACCTATAACTCAAGAAGCTTTAGTTAAGGGTGAAGGATACAATTTCAGTATTAATTATGACTTCTAGTCCGTTAGGATGGAAAACACCGCTGATGTTCATGTTGAACTTGTCAAACTTATGTATGGCCTGTGCAGAGCGGACATCCCAGAGGACCCCGTCATTTAAGACTAGATCATCTGTAGGATTAAACGTGGCACAGTTCCTCTTGTAGTTGTTGGCAAGATCTGGGTTAAAGAGAGTCAACAGCTTGTTGCCAGTCTGAATGTCATAAATCTTTGGAGAAAAAAAAGAGGAGTGAGGAAGATATATCAGATTCATGTGTTTATTACAACAAAAAGATTTGCAAACCCAATTTTTCCTGACTTCTCAATTCTGACCAAAGTTTTCTAAAACCCCATTTCTCCCCAACTTGCCTAACAAGAAACCAATCTATATCTTTGCTAAAATTCTAAAAAACAAGTAGCTTTTTCACTGGATACCCCTTTCCCAAAAGAAAAATGAAAAGAGAAAAAGTCAAGCCTCCCCTAAAGATGAATAAGAAGAAATCCTCTTTTCCTATCACCATCTTGGGAAAAGGACAATGTGTCTAGCATAAGTGGGAAAATGGCATGTTTCCCTTTTCCAACTCAATGTATAATGATCTAACTACTGACTATTCATTCTTTAAGGGGAGTGATATCTCTCTCTCTCTCTCTCAGGAGAGGATTGAAGAGGGAGCTAAGTAGTATAAGATTTTCCTTGAAATATTCCAACACATTTGTCCCCAACACAGAATTTCAATTAGTCAAGCAAAGTGTCCAAATACTCACAGCAGCTTAAATGCCAAGATATTTAACCTACACAATCAATCAATAAACATATATATTAAGCACTTACTATCTGCCAGGCACTATGCTAAGCACTGGGGATACAAAGAAAGAGAAAAACATCCCCCAAAAGCACACACCCCCAGAAACCCATTTCCTTGAAAATGTCAGCTTCTCAGTTTTTAAGTTTTTCTTATAGAGCCTAGAACTATCTTCCTAGTTATACTTAGGACTATAGCCTAAGTATATAGTCTTCCAGTCAGAAGTATCTTATGTGAACAGAAGTACATGACCAGCTGTAAAGCTATGAAATCAAAGGTACTTACATGGGCAATGTCCCCTTTTGTGCCAATGACCCTATCCTGTGAGTGCTTGCTGAACTCTACGTAGTGGTCTTCTGTGAAGGAATGCCTGCAGGCAAGTAACAGGTAGCAGATATATCATACTCTCTGGAATCTGATACTTGCAGTGGTTAGGTTTAAAACTTACACCAAGTTAATCCCCAATTTTCTACACAACTAAACTTGAATTCAAATTCACTAACTCCCATAAATAAAACCAAAACATTCAAAGGTCTGGAAAAAAATCTGACAAAACAATCCTACCTTAATTTGTCCGTGCAAGATAAAAGTGCTAACAGGCCTCACCCCAAAAAAGAAAGAAACTTATCACCAAAATAATTAGCAGGCCCCTAGTCCTTTCATTCAAGCTCTAAACTACCCACATGCAGAGGCAGCAAGATAGCCAACTGCCATCTGTTAACAGGGTTCATATGGGAAACAGGTGTGACATGTGCCATATACAGCTGACTGGGGTGGGGAGAGGGAAGAGGAAGGAATGCTGTTGAGTAACGAGAGTTAACAAACAGTTAAAGAGCATTTTAAGGTTTGCAAAATGTTTTACATACATTATCTCATTTGAAACCCTCCAACAATCATGTGGTCTAGGTATTACATATATTACTATTCCCATTTTATGGTTAAGGAGACTGAAGCTCAGGGTGGCTAAGTGACTTGCCTATGGTCACCCAGAAAGTAAGTGTCAAAAGGTGGGATTTGAACCCAGGTCTCTCTAAATCCAACTCCAGCGCTCTCTCCACTACACCACGCTGCATTAAACACTGCAATGGTAGGTTCAATCTGAAAAAAAACAGTTCTGGAATGAAAGAAGAGAGTAAGTTTTCTTCTTTATCCACCAAGCTAAAAATTTAGGGGATTAAAGTTTATTCAGAACTAGCTAACAACCAATATTTTTCTTCTCCTAATTAACTCCTTTAAAGACACAGAGACCAGGCTGACAAAGAGTGTACTCACTTCATATCAAACACTGATTTCATCCCCCAGAGTGCAGAAAGGGGCTGGCTCCAAGTGGCAGACGTTAACAACAAAGATCCATCCTAAAAGAGAAGGAGGTCTAAGTTAAGTAACAATAACATATATAATTAACAAATGACATTTACACATAATTTCAGTGCGCAAAATGCTTTATGTACATTAATACCAACAGTTATATACATTTACTACTAGCATACAAAAATATATTTATGAAAATACATTTCTAGCCTACTTCTTTAAAGCAACAGAGGACAGAGGAACTCCTATGGGAGCCAGAAAGAGCTAAGCTACACAACATAACTATATTCTAACAGCAAGACCTCAGAAAAACAAAATTAAACTATTTGAGACAATATTATACATGCTTAACCTTGTAACATGTGGCAGTCATTAACATAATAATGACACTGAAAACATCCCAGTGGGGAAAAAAAATTCTCATTCTAAAAAAAGTTTCAAAATTTATTCCATCTCTTTTTAAATCATATTCCTCAGTTTTTCCCATCTGTAGTACTGGCCAACAAAAAATAAATATATTGCTCAAGGCACTTTCCAAGAACTTGCCAAATTTTAGAATATTTATTTAGGGTAGCCTTAAAGATGTGAATGTCTCCTTCCTCTGGGGTTGGTAAGGATGTCCTGATAACATGAATCTTCTCAATTTTGAAGAAAAAAAGTATTCACACCATGAGAATAGTTAATATACCACCACACTGGAATTACATAGTATTTTTCTTCCAAGTAATTCATAATATTTTAAAATTTCACTTGGATAGAACTTTGTTACAGAACCAGAAAATTTTACTACCTATATAAAGCACTGAGGCACTACAGTGTATTAAACAGAATGAGTCAGAAGGACTTGGACTCAAGTCTCCACTTTGACACATACTGCTTATGTGATCCCATGTAAGTCACTCTACCTCTCAATGCTCTAGGCAACTCTAAGAAACAAAAGTACCAGAGAAGGTGCCAACCTGCATTGGTAGAAGGAGCTTCCTTACCTGGAAGTAACCTATACTTATTAAACCACAATTGTAGTCCCTCTTGCCTATCTAATGTATACCTCCTAATAGATCTTACTTAGATGGCTTCCACAATAAGAAAAGCATAATGAGAAAACAACCAGGCCTTGGCAGGAATGCTTTTGGCAACCTCAGAAGAGTTCCTTACCCGAGACGGTTCAAGGTGTGTGATGGCAGAGTTATGACAGTTATAACTAGCCTCTTCCTGCCCACTGAATACATTGTAAAGTTTCAGCTGCCCCGTACACGTGCCAAGCATCAGAAACCTCTCTCGGGCTGAGAATGCACAGCAGGTAAAGCCACTTTCATCCTCATTTGCTTCCCGAAACACTGAAATGGGACGGAACCTAGAAAAAGACACAGAGATCATTAGCCACAATAAATCAAAAAGTTCTAAGGAAAAGAAAATTGGGACAAACTGTGTTAAAGAGAAACTAAGAGATTAGCTGGAGGCATAGGAATGGTATAGTCACAAGTGTTTCCCAGTTTTTAAAGTTTAAGATGCTATCATGACAAAAAAAAACCTAATTTGATTTCATTTAAAATTTTCATTTTAAATGAAAGGGGGAAAAAGCTTCTCATTTTCAGATTAAAACAAAAACTAATAACCTATAAGTTCTTTCTGGATTTTAAAAATTATTGCAGCAATTACATGCCAACCCCATGGAAAAGAATAAAAACCAACATGGCACCAAGGCCTAGTTCAAGGCAGCTCATTAGAACAAGTTCTAAAGTAGTCAGTAGTCCTGACGAGGCAGAGTCAGTATGTCTAGGATGCTACAGTAATAACAATACAAGGAGCCTAGAATCACCACGTGGTCTCACGGATAGTCACACAACTCTGCTTTGTAATAATTCAGCTAAAAAACAGCTACTTAGGTTTATTAATTGTGTTTTCCAGTTTGATGACCACCCCTTTCCCTAAGAGGTTAAAAGCATTGCCTTACCTGCTGAAGATGAGGTGCCTATCAAAGCACCCACCATCTACCCCTCCGTACTTTGGAAAGGCTGCTCTGCGGGTTAGTCTCGAGGTAAAATTTGTTGGCGCTTGCCGCCTTTGTTTTGGCTCAGGACACTGGTGAGGGGTAAAAAGAGAAAAGGGGGGACAGGTGGCAACTGGGTTCTTGCAGCGAGCATGCTGCTCCCTAAGGTATTCTGTGATGATACTGTCCAACGTGGGAGGGGAAGGAAGATGTCTGTCCAACTGCTTTTTTATGGCTGGGCTTTGGCTGTAGGCGCCATGGTCCGATTTCTGCCTTAACACTCTGATTTTCCTGCCATTGCAGGGTGATGGCCTCTCCCTGATAAAACTGATCCTGCCAATCAAAGGGGAGCTGCCTGCATAAGATGGGCCAGGCAAGGCAAGTGGACCCTGTGGAGGCCGTGACTGAGAGTGGACAGATGAGGCTGAGGAAGCTACACTGGCATGGCTGCTTAGTCTGGCTGCAATGCCATTGGCAATGCGAGGGGTACGAGGCAGAGAGACAGGGGAAGCAGCAGCTGTGACAGGAGTGAAGGCAGAGGAATGAGAGGCAGCAGTCATGGGTAGATCAGCCTCTCTGGTGAGGACAGTTGCTGTCTCTCCCAGCCCTTTGGAGATGAGATGGTTTCGGATTAAGAGAAGCAATTCCTTCTCAGGAAAGGAGATTCTAGACTGGGCTACCACATCTGCTTTCTGCAGCCGTGCAAGAGAAACATCAGTACCAATAAGGAGGGGCTTTCCTGACACACGTTCAATTAGCTCAGCAGCATATTTGCAGAACTTGACATGGTCACTGCGTTTGTCCTGCAAAACAGGTTCCTTCATCAGCTGCTGTATCTGGCAGCTACTGAAGAGAGGCAGCTTGCTGATGATCTGCCGGACAGTGCTACTGCGAGAAAGTCCTACTAGGGCTTTGCACGCTAGCGCTCTGATCTGGTCTGCATCAGTGATGGGCATCTTGATGGACAGCAATGACAAGAGCACCTTGATACCATTGTTGGACTGGACCACATTCCACATCTTGGCCAGCGTATGCTCACTGCTTTTTGGAGGCTGAGGCAACTTCCGCCTGGGGGTTCCAGAGATGAACTTGCCAATACTAGAGATCCGGTTATCTGGGCCACATACACAATTGATAATGATCTGAAGAGCTGATTTCTGAATTTCAGCATCATGAATAAAGAACTCACCCTCTGCCACTCCCAGGATGATGCTGATACCTGTTTGAGGGAAAAAAAATTTTTATCCTCTTCTCCCCAATATTTCAAATTGATATTCACGTTCAGATTCAGAAGAACATTAGGAACAAGAACTGGGAATTGTGTTAATTTTGTTTTAACACCTTGTAGAAAGTAACTTCAATTTTCAAATCACAAAATAAAAGTATTTCTTGTTTGCTGCAGAAATGATAGCTGTGGACTCAGCTTATATAAAGTAACGTAAAGAGTGAGGGCACAGTCACTCACTTCAGGAGTCGTACTCAGTGGTTTTCAGAAGCAAGGTAAGCTATATATAACAACAGTAACTCCTACTTTCTGTCTCCTTAAAGTTTCCAAAGCACTTAACTCACAAGGACCCTGCAAGGAAGGTAGAAAAAGTGTCGCTAGCCTCAATTCACAGGTGAGTAAAATTAAACTCACACGAGGAATGATTTGTCCAGACATATGAATAGTGAATAGCAGCTTAAAGAATATAAATACCAACCGATGTCAGAGGTCCTGACTCTACAACACATCTCAAAAGAAGACTGTAAAGTTCTTCTTAGAGGTTCCATGTAATTCCACATGTAACAAAGAAATTCTCTTTAACTCTTCCTATACCCCACAGAGTCTCAAAGAAAAATGACACAAATGAGAATGTATATGGGTCAAAAAAGAGAATGGGGCATTATTACTGGTGAACACCCTAAGAACATCATCATACTATTATGCAAACGTCAATTTATCCATACAGTGCCTCAGCAGTCGGACTACATTGTGTGCCATGTACAGACCACAGAGCGCAGAACCTACTGTTGCCTTCTGGTTAAGTACAGTAATATGAAATTTAAATCAGAATAGCAAATATGGTACCAACTATCAGAGGAAAAAATTCAAGTCAAACCCTCTCTCTAGGCCTTTGCACTGGCCATCTGCACACGCCAGAAACGCTCTCTGCTGACCTCTACCTCCTAGAATCAGTTACTACCTTCCAGACTCAGCTCAAGTGCTACCTTCTACTTGAAGCGTTTTTAAATTCTCCCAACAGCCAGTGTCTTCCTTAAACTATCTTGTATTTATTTTGTAACATACATGTATGTGTTGTCTTTCCCCACCCTCAGGCCCTACCCAACAGAATACAAGTTCCTAGGCAAAAGAGGTTATTTCATTTTTATCTTGGTATCCCCAGCACTGAACGCAGTGTCTAGCACATTATACACATTTTTAAAATGCTTGTTGATTAATTTGTAAAGAACAAATTCAACTTACCTACAGTAGAGACAGTGGATCCAGCTTCATCTAACACATCTACTGATTCAGCTAACTGCAGCTGGATTTTTGGTACCACAGTAAGAATAGCCAGGACATCTAAAGCATAGCGTACGGTATCATTCCTAAGAGAGTAGACAAAGGAACTTGGCAAAAATAGCAAGTATGATACAGTCAAAAGAATGTATAAGAAATGTCATATTAGACTGTGGTCAGTCTCTGACAACAGTGGAGCCTTAAAATAAAACATAAAACAACATGACTCAACAGGTTAGGAATGAGCTCCAAAAAGCCTCAGCTTCGCTTAATAATCTAAGGAGTCTATCATTCAGGGATTTATCTGCATCTTTTTTTCTTTCTTTCTTTCTTTTTTTTGGTGAGGCCATCGGGGTTAAGTGACTTGCCCAGAGTCACAAAGCTAGTAAGTGTTACGTGTCTGAGACCAGATTTGCACTCAGGTCCTCCTGACTCCAAGGCCACAGCTCTATCCACTGCACCATCTACCTGCCCCTATCTACATCTTTCTTGATCCTCTTATTTTTAGCCCATACCACTTTTGGGACGACGTGTACCAAGAGTTGATGTCCCCCTGCATTAACAAACATTTCCTTTTTCCTTGTCCTAGCATTTCAAGTGTTAAACTGTAAGCTTCCTGAGGGCAGGGACTGTCTTTTGCCTCTTTTTTTATCCCTAGCACTTGGCATAATGCCTGGCACATAGCAGGCACTTAAAAATGTGTGACTGGTTATTGATTACATGTACTTTCTAACTCTAAGAAACCATGATACAGAATCTATTCTGAACATTAAGTTCCACTGTTCTGAGATCTGGCAAACAAGTCCACGTTCACCCTCCTAAAATAACTTCTATGATTTTGTGAATTCTGATCCTCTCTCCTTAGCCATCATCCTTCCAAAAAGAAGTCTCTTTTAAACATTTTCATGCAACAATCCCCCATGTCCTTTATCAGTCTGGCTGCCCTTTTCTGGACCTCATTCTGCTTAGTTATGTCTTACCTGACAAGTGAAAAGCAAAACTTAGACACAGTATTCTAACGTGTGCAAAACACTAGAGTATTTGTAAAGAAGAAAGGAGGGGTTTTTTTTATTCGATGAGATAGGGAAAAGTAGGGCCAGTATACAGGTCCCTAACATCATTTTATTTCATGTCTTCCTTTATACCCTGGCCCAACAAATGAGATCTTCTAAGAGAAGATAAGTCTAACTTTAGGAGTAATTCTCCAGTCTCACCTTGCATAGTAGGTTTTCCAGTTGCAGGCAATGGATATAAGCTGCAACATAAGTTGCACACAAGAAAGTTTGAGGAAGACTTCAGCTGGTTCCCAGTATAACTGAGCTGGTCCATACTCTATGAGAAACTCCATCATCTCCACAATCTGCTCATGAGTATAAGAACATGCCTACATGTAGAGAAAACAGACCATGCCATTAAGAATTGTATCATCTTCTCATATTCTTTGGTGCTTTTATCAGTTGGACAATTTTAGCAATAAAAAATGAAGTAAGAGCTTTTAGATTCCACAATCCTACAATTAGTAAAAGTCCATGGTAAATAGACACGTAGCTATAACAGATTTCTTTTACATAATGCCTGACTATTTACAAAGTACTTTCGTGTACATTGTCTCATGTGATATTCAAAACAACCCAATGAGGTAGGTAAGGAAGTAAGCATTAATCTCTTTTATGACAAGCGGACCAAAACTCATAGGGGTTAAGTGACTTATCTGGGGTCCATCACCCAGTGAATTGGCAGACACAGGAATGGAACCCAGATCTGGTGCTTTTTTCCATTATATTGCCATGCTTTCCCATAAATGTTTAATCACTTTATAGAAATCATTTATTCTATCTACTACCACCTTAAATTGGAAAACTAAAGATACGTTTTATTTTTAAAACATTTTTAAATAGACATTCATGAAAACACCTATTGAATCACTAGCACCTATATTAGATTTGAGGTTGAAAAGGCTAGTCAAAAAAAAATCATAAATTCTGTGTCCCTATTTTGCACCTGAAAGCACAGGTTTTTTGGATTAAAACAAAGGCAAAAAAACCCAACCCACTTTAATTATTTCCATTTTGATCTGAGATATTTAAAATGTGTTGAAATGGTTTTACATATAATAAAAATGTGTAGAACAGCTTCCAAGCTACTCATATTTTTCCAAGGCCTCAGCCTAAGCTTACTACAGGAATAAATTATGTTTTTATAAGACAAAATATAAAATCAAGAAGCAAGGGATATAGTATTTTATAAAAAATATTATATCTGTATTATACACACCTTAATTAATCTTTAATTTCTGGTATAAAGGGGAAAGAGACATGGCAACTGACATCTGTGGGAAAACTGAGTCTCTGAAGTTAACCTGTCTTTATTTTCAATTAGTACATAACTACACACAATGCAAGACTAATCCAGAAATTCACATCCTATAGTATTCCACTGAATCAAGTGTGTATCTCATACTCATGATGCACCCAAAAAAAAATTGCAAAATAAGTCCTTCCCACTCCTTGCTCACCTTGTATGGTGGCTGTGGATGGACAAGAATACCACCTTCTGTTCTCTGAAGTGACTGCTTCACCTGTTCCAACTTAATGGCCAGGTGAGCTTCAAAATACCTTCGGAGCGCCATGCAGGTATGTTTTCCAGTTTGTCGGCTGGCAAATATTTCATCATCACTCAGAAGAGCACCCTGATCTTCCAAGTTTAGAATTTCTAGGGTACTGATCTATGAAGAGGGACAGGGTGAACAGAATCGGACAACAGAAAAATGAAAGGCAAGAAGAAAAGGAAAATTTTAACTTTTTGGTTAAATAGACTTTCAATATAAAAGCTCAATATTTTATCCTAAACATTGGTAATTACCATGGATGCAAAATATTATATTCAAGAAGGTAAGACTACTATAGACATACTCTTCCCAGGCACAAAACTGGATCTTTTAGAAGTACCAAAGCTACATGAAGGGTAATTCCTTTTTAGAAGAGAGATTGCCTTTTCCCTTCTAATTCTCTCTCTTCAACACCAATATTCACGCATGGGTACTTATATGACTATGAATAAATAACATCTGATCTCAGAAGAAGCAAAACTGGGAAACACAAAGAAATTGGAGATGCATGGTAGGTATAAACAGGCTACAACATATTACCAATAATGATGTGCATGAAAGAAATGATATCAAATACAAATATCAAGGACATGGATGATTAGGAAAGGAGGTGGGGCCAGTCATGTATCATGAATGGGAGAGAGAACATCAGGGTCCAGAAAATATTAAAAAACCTAAGGCAAAGCTTTAGCATAATGGAGAGCTCTTTTATGGACAATTTATGAAAGGAGATGAATATGAATCACACAGAATGAGAGGACTAAGCCGAGTGGCTGTATACGCTGGTATAATACCCATACCAATGAAACTGTGAATCCACCAGAGCTACATACCATTATCGGATATTTATTCAGCTACCACTTCTAAAACAGTTACCAAGGTCTGACCCAAGAAAGCTTATACAGTTAATGATGAATACAGTAAAGTTTGTTTTTGTTTTTTAAATAGATATTATTTATAAGCTAATAGGCCATTCCTTGAAGATCTTCTATTGTACTATATACACTCTTATGTAACTACTTTCAATTCTTATTACTCCCTAGCTCAGGCTCAGGCTTGATATGAATAAAAAAATTATAAATTAATCCATACAAAAGCTTTCCATTAGGGTTTATCTGGAATGAATGTGTATTGACTATGTATTGGGATAAGAAATATTCATGGTTAGGAAAACTTGTACATGAAGGAATAGGCCTCTACAACCAATACTGAAACATCCTGAATGATGAAGAAAACAGATCTTCCAACAGCAGGGTGTTGTCTGAAGGGTTCATTACCAAAAAGTAAGGTTCTCTGCCCTCACAGGGAAAGGAAGCAAATGAAAGGGTGTGATTCTAAGAAATTTTCCACTTAGTTCTAAAACAAAAGCATTAGCTCTCACCAAGTTGACCAGGCGACGAAGGCCATCATGCCTGTCAAAGAGTTCCAAGACAGCACGAAAAGAGAAGCAAATAGAGAAAAACATGGTAGCATGGCAGCATCCAGATGCATGGGAACATTCCATTAGCCACAAGGTATAGTTCACTACATCGGATAGAACATTGTGGGGATGCATGCACACCTGCCAAGAAAAAAGATGTGGTGACACTTAAAAGATAAAACATGAGAAACCTTTTATCAAGTAGAACTGTTATATTTGTTAGAAAGTTGGACTTATTCAGGCATATCCTAGAATATAAATAAAGGCAGAGTCTAACCCAACCAAGCCCTCAAATTTCTTCCCTGCATTCCTTTCTTGTTGCCTTCACCACACTGCTACAAAGGGAAAAGGGGATACCCAAAGGTAGAGTAAGCTCCATCTCTTCTTCTATTACTCAAAAACTCATCACCTGCCCCTACCCCTCACCTTCTTAACTCCCATCCCATCCTTCATCTCAGAACCCTCACCCCAATCCCTCAATTTCCCAGCCACTTAAAGTTACATTCTTGCTTTCTGTACCCAACCTGCTGCAGTCTCCATTTTAGGACAAAGGAGCACCACCAATGATCTGGAACTGTGGGAATACCTACTCCTACCACTATGGCTGTCATGAAGGAGGTGCACTATTAGCATCACAAATTGGAACTTGTGAATACAATTTCACAAATAATGTTTAGATGCTACAACACTATTAGAAATTTATATGCCAAAAACATTCTGGATTAATTTTTTATGAGCCAAAGGGACAGCATGCACAGTGGATAGTGTAAAGGACTTAAGAGTCAGGAAGACTTTGATCTAAATTCCACCTCAAACACTTACTAGCTGTGTGACCCTGGGGCAAGGCACTTAACGTCTCTGAGCCACAGGTTTCTCATCTGTAAAATGGGAAGATAACAGCACCTACCTCAAAGAGTTGTTGTGAGGATCAAATCAGATAACAGATGTAAAATGTTTTGCAAACTTTAAAACACTGTACAGCTATAACTATGGTTCTCCTCTTCCCTAGCATCAAGTAGAGAGTAAAAAGGAAGCCTGCAAACGCAATGCCTCACCTACATTACTGGCAAGTCTTCACAAAGACTCATAAAGCTACAAGTATCAAAAGTCTCTAGTTAAGCAGCTCCACTTCACTAGAAAAACTAGCAAACACTTTTGAGGAGGGACAGGGTCAAATGAGAGAATAGAATAAATTGGGGATGGGATACAATGAAGGGAAATATGGTTAGTTTTCCACAACATGGCTATTTATGAAGTGTTTTGCATGACTACACATGTATAACCTGTATCCAGTTGCCTGCCTTCTCAATGAGGGTGGATGGGCAGGGAAGAAGGGAGAGAATTTGGAATCCAAAGTTTTAAAAACAAATGTTAAAAATTGTTTTTACATGCAACTGGGAAATAAGATGTACAGACAATGGGGTATAGAAATCTATCGTGCCCTACAGGAAAATAGAAGAGGAAGGGTATTGGGGGGAGGGGGGTTGACAGAAGGGCAGATCAGGGGAAGGGGCACTCAGAACGCATGCCATCTTAGGGCGGGGGGAGGGGAGAGACAGGGAGAAAATTTGGAACACAAAATCTTGTGGAAGTGAATGCTGAAAACTAAAAATAAATTAATTTTTTAAAATTTACTGTTTTGTTTTTCCAGGATACTTCACTTAGCTAGAAGACTTAAAATGAAGATTTTTCAAGACTATTGAGTTATTTTAATCTTGAGAAAATGTAAAATTATTTCATGTGTCTTCGAAACAAACTACCTGGGAACAGAAACCTAGGAGCTGTATACTCAGCCCTCTTCATCCTAAAATAAATTAATCCACACAGGACAGGACTGTTAAGAACTAATACAGAAGATACATTAGACGAGTACTTAAAAGAAAGTACTCATTGGAATAGACAGAACAATGTTAATACAACAGGAGATACTTAGCCTAAACTCCAAAGTCCCTAACCCCAAAGAAATCTATTTTTCCTTGCTTCAAATATCTCCTACTTATTGATACAAATGTATATTTATGTGCAGCTAAGCATGACCACACATGCTCATTAATAACTGCATTTTCAGAAAGCTTTGGAATCCTTCATAATACTAGGTATTCTACACCCTAGCTTCTTTTACTATCATACAACTCCCTCAATTATACCCTCTACATTTACTAAATTCAGTTAAGTTATTTGCAGAGTGCTTATACACTCAAAAAAAAACTGTCCCCCAGAATTATCAACAATATATTTGGGAACACTGTACTTACTCGTTCCATGGCATCCTGGTTATAAGACAGATAATATAAGCACATGGATACCCCAGTAGCAGCCATAGAAGGACGAGGAATTTCCAGTAACTTTTGTACACCTCCATGTGCAACAAACTCTGTGGCAAACTTGTTGTGGAGCAGAAGTGATGCCAAGTGCTGGAGGAAAGGACAAGAATTAGCACGGGACAAGTAAAACCAACATAAGGCTCTCCAAAAAATACCAACAAAGTAGGACATTTACACACAAGTCCTCATTTTCCATATACAACTTTGAGTAGGATGATGATTCTAATTTCCTGCCCCAAATAGAAGTGTAAGCAAAATACCAAAATATTTTTCCCAGGGCAACTAACCTCACAGGGTGTCATGAGAATGAGGTAACAGATACTAACAATTAGAAAGTTTACACAATTATAAGATGTTATTGTTCAATTATTTTATTGTCTCATGAAGCAAGGGATCAAAGGAGTCTGGCAGTCTTCTCATTTTTGTCATTTAGTATAACAAATAGTGTATATACTAACCTTGGCTCTCTTTGCCACTGCCTTAGCAACTAATGAAGCTACTATCTTTTGCTATATTAGGATTTTAGGAAGATCAATTTTAAAATAAGAATTTGCAGCAAATTATCAAGTACTACATACACTGTTATTAATGCTAATAAGAATCCATTTCAGAGACCACATACCCTCAACTTCCTTTGTATTTTCAACAAACCTCTGACACACACATCAAACTAAGTACAATCTTTTTTCCTAATTATAATTCCAATTCATTCAACTTTTCAAGAAATCTTTCCAATACTACACTTATGAATGTAGAAATATCATACCTTAATTTCTTTTGCCTTTCCCAGATAAGAATAAGATACCAAAGCTGCCCTTATTCAGGAAAAAACTTCAGAGGTCAGGCTATATACCCCTTCTGTTGTTTCACAACAATTATTTAACAATAATTGATGATTTTCTTAATTTAACTTGAATACCCAGAGGGGAAAAAAAGTTTCCTTTGCTATGCTTATGGGCTGAACTGCTTTTAGTATTTAAGTGTAAGATTATACTATACTTCTCAATCTCACACCTCTTCCAAACTTAGACCTTGAGGCAAATGATCTTGGACCCAAATGTCAGACTTGATAAACTGAATCAAATTAGGAAACTGAGAATCAGGGAAAGGCACCCAGACTACAAACTATGTGTCTATACAGTGATAGAAAACTACCTTTTCATAACTTTTGTAAAAAGATGTGACAGAAACTGACAACTTTTGATTTAAGGTATCTATCTAATCTGGGAAAACCAAGAATTTGACTATTTCTGTTTCAAACAGCAATGGTAGCAAAGTCTTCGATTTAATTCAACAAACAATTATTAAGTATATAATGTTCATAGCCCTATGCTAGGTCACAGAACATTAGATTTAGGGCTAGAAGGGACATTGGGGTCATTTGATCCAACTCCTTCATAGTACAAATGTGGGAAATGAGGCCCAGAAAGGCTGATTTTAACAGTAAGCATAACAGTAACAACTAGCATTTATATAATACTTTTAGGTTTCTAAAGCACTTTACAAATATTATCTCATTTTATATTCATAACAATCCTAAAAGACAGATGCAATTATTATCATCTCTACTCTCCACAGGAAGGAAGTGAGGCAGACAGAGGTTTAGTTCTTTGCCAAGGTGATTGTCTGAGGCTAGATGAATTCAGGTCTTCCTGAATCCAAGTCCAACACTCTAGCCACTAAGGTGCCTACAATTATACAGGTTACAACTAGCAGAATATGACTTGAACCCTGGTCTCTAATTTCAAATCCAACATTCTTCCCATTGTACCATGGTGGCTCCCTAAAAGAAATTTAGACAAACATACATTAAGACACAGTCCATACCCCTTCTTAAAATCTTAGAGGGGAATACACCATATTCAAGTCAATTTCCTGCCTCAGTTTCCTGAGTCCAAGCATTTTCAGCATCTTCCAACCACAGTGGAAATGTCTTAGACAAAAAATGAATGTGATCTTACCACCTAAAAGGGATGGAAGATTTTCAAAAATTAAAATTCTACCAAAACAAGTGTGACTGACTCCAGTGGGGGAGAAAGGGAGGAGGAAAACATCTAAATAGACTAAAAATACTACACTGGGAACTTTCCAATGAGTACATATTCTTAAAAAGGCTTATACAAAAGATGAAGAAAAGAATGGAAGAGGTCTATAAGAATAGTGTGAAGAAAGCTAAAATTTAAAATGAGTCCAGGCTCCAGAAAGTTAAACTAAGATGAACAGATAAAAGTTACAGAGTGACAGAGAGGTTTACTTTAAAGAATTTTCTGACTTTCCTATCTAAAAATGGAATGAGTTGCCTCAATAAGTGAGAACTATCACTCAATGACAACTTATTAAGGATACTGTACCAAGAAATATACACAAAACTAGCTGGGCTCTGAGGACCCTTACAATTTGAAGATACTATGAATGTTTTCTGGTTGATAAATAGTCAAAGAATATAAACAGGTCATTTTCAGAGGAAGAAATCCAAACTGTCAAATAGTTATATGAAAAAAATGTCTTAAATCACTAAAGAAATGCAAATTAAATCAAATCTGAGGTTTTACCTCACACCCATCACACTGGTAAAGTTAGCAAAAATGGAAAATGACAAATGTTGAGAGGGGTTGTAGGAAAATAGACAAATTAATGCACTGTCAGTGGAACTATGAACTGGTTCAGCCATTCTGAAAAATAATTTGGAACTATGCCTTAAAGCTATTAAATTGTGCACACCCTTCAACACCGCAATACCACTACTAGGTCTATACTCCAAAGAGATCAAGAGGAAAAGGGGGGGCGGGGCAGCTAGGTGGCGCAGTAGACAGAGCACTGGCCCTGAAGTCAGAAGGACCTGAATTCAAATCTGGCCTCGGACCAAACACTTGACACTTACTAGCTGTGTGACCCTGGACAAGTCACTTAACCCCAATTGCCTAATAAATAAATAAACAGAGAGAGAGAGAGAGAGACAGACAGACAGACAGACAGACAGATAGACAGATAGATAGATAGATAGATAGATAGATAGATAGATAGATAGATAGATAGATAGATAGATAGATAAAAGAAAGGAAAAGGGACCAGGTGTATATTTATAGCAGTCATTTTTTTGTGCTGGTAAAGAACTGGAAATTTAGGAGATGCCAATCAATTAGAGAATGGCTGAACAACTTAGGACATATGAATGTGACGGAATATAACTATGCTATAAGAATGAAGGGGAGAGTTTCAGAGAAACCTGAGAAGACTTGCACAAAATGATGGAGAATGAAGTGAGCAGAACCAGGAGAATAATTTATACAATAACAAAAATATTGTAAAGAGAAACGACTTTGAAAGACTTGGGAACTCTGATCAACACAACAATCAACCACAATTTCAGAGGACTCAAAATAAACATGTTGCTCATCTCATGACAGCGAAGTAATAGATTCAGAGTATAGACTGAGACATATATTTTTGAACATGGCCAATGTGGAAATTTATTTTGTTTGACTATGCATGTTTTTAACAGTTTTTGCTTTTCTTGCCTTCTAAAGTAGGGGATGGGTATGTGGGTGGGTGTGGGTATGTATGTGAGAGAGAGGAAGAGAGACAGAAAAGGTTAATTTTTGTGTGTAATTTTAAAAAAAGGCTATGAACTCCATTTTTAACCCTGTCCCCTTCTCAAAAATACCATCAGTCCTGTAAAAAGCCCTCCCTCTAATGCCCAAGCTGCCTATGTTGTTCTGGCCCACCGTAGGGGTAGGGAAGAAGGAGTGACACAACAACTCCAACTTCTGGCTTATCAGGAAAGAGAAGGACTGACTATTCTGAATACTATAAAGAAGTTGCCTCTCACCCACCTCCTTAAGCTTCAAGTCACCATATACAAAATAATGAATAATTCCTGAACCAAGACAGTACCTACATTTAATGATGAATACTGATAAACTTTTAACAAATACAATGGAGAGGCTATTTCTTGTTTTGGTTTTTTTTTTGTTTTGCTAGGCAATGGGGTCAAGTGACTTGCCCAAGGTCACACGGCTAGTAAGTGTTATGTGCCTGAGGCCGGATTTGAACTCAGGTCCTCCTGAATCCAGGACCGGTGCTCCATCCACTGCGCCACCTAGCTGCCTCCAAAGAGGCTATTTCTTACAGTTTCTTTATGATATTACGTATACTCTCAACTAATTACCCTCATACTCCTTGCTGCCAGGCTCAGGCTTCCTAAATAACTACAAAATTACGAATGAATCACACACTTATCTTGGTCATCAAATAGGTCTTGAGTCACATGTCCAATTACGAATACTGAAATCTTAGTTCAGTGCTCTTTCCATTATACCACACTACCACTGAAGAGACCTGGGTTCTAGGCCCAGCTCTGTCAAAAACTACTTACTTTATCACATGCAGTCATTTAATCAATCTGTAAAACAAGGATGATTATATTCCTCCTAATTGTTTTATAGGGTCATTATAAGGATTAAATGAGAACCTGCAAAAATACTTCAGGGAAAAAAAAGGTTTTATTTTGTTGTTGTTGCTGGAAACTAAAGTACAAATGACAGTTAACTCTTAAGTTGCATGAGTTAAGTGACTCCTCTGGAGTTTAAGGGAAAGTCAACAAGCTCTTTTACTTTGTATATTACAAAACTAAGAAGAAAGACTTCTGTCTAATATGCCACTTATTATTTGCATATGTAACTTTGTAAGCTAGTTGAGCTAGCATTTTCACAACATCCTTAGTTACGATAGACTTCTAGGGTTCAGGTTTGTTTTTAGACAAGATGGCCCACTGATTGCATGACTTCCCAATGTTTCTTACATAAATAAACTTTTTACCATGTGCACCAAATGGCCAGCCAGCCCTCGTGCTCCCCTCCACACCCTTACCTAACTTTCCTTCCTCCTTGGCTCTACCCTCTTGGGGCTGTTCCCCCCAAAAGGGTAACAGGCAGGAGGAAGGAATGGCCCCTGTGTTCCTAACCACCAGATCGGTCCCAGGAAGCTGTTACATTTAAGAATGTTGCTGTGAACTTTAACTGACAAGAAAGAGGGCAGCTGGCTGCCCCTCATAAGGACTTGTGCAGGGAAGTGCAACCGAAGAGCTACAGAGCAGGGTTTCCCTGGAAGGGCTTCCTGTTTCCAAAGTCGATATGATGTCCCAGCTGCAGCATATGCCCAGAGGCTTCCATCAAGAGATTTACAAGCTCCAGAATATAACACATTCACACTATCAGAGGCAACCCATCTGGTTTTGACCATAAATTAATATTCCAGCCAAACTATACTACCAGCTCTTTCCTGAACTTGACATTAGGGACATTCTGCTGTACTGAACAGTATACTTAGTAGATTGAACCTGGGTGGGAATGCTACCTCTGATCCTTACTGCCCATGTGACTAGAGGCAAACAATTTAATCTCTCCAAACCTGAGTTTTTTTCATGTGTAAAATGAGGATATTACCACCTGTCTCACAGGGTTGTTTTCAGGGTCAAATCAAAGAATGATATAAAACACCTGACAAAATGTCAAGCACTTCTTTAGCTATTATGATGATAATGATCTCCTGCCGCTAGGCCAGCAGTTCTCCAACACTTTTTACTCACGGCATGATCTTCTTTACCTTAAGTGATCATGGCACACTGAACACTGAAGCTAGCAACAAAGAAGAATAGCGGGGCAGTTTGGGCCTCCACACTCTTGACCTGGCCATGGGATTCTCTGAACTCTGAAGATGGAGCTGCTACTGTGACCTTCCTGCTGCCAAGCCAAAGCTAGCACACAGCCAAGTGCAACTTCGAATGGAGGATTCTATGCATCCATATCCCTGGAGAACCATAGCTCTGTGTGCTTGTCTGGGCCATCTCCCAGGCCTGTAACACCTTCCTTCCTCATTTTTGCTTTCACATTCCTTTGACTCCTTTAGGGTCCTAGTCAGATGCCACCCCTTCCATGCAACATTCCCTGATTACCTCTGCAGCTAAAAGTATTTTCTCATCCTCCTAAAGTATTCGCAGAGAATTTCATCTTGATCTTTACTCTGCACCATCACACTCCATGCTGCATCACACTTACCTGTGTAGAAATCATATCTTCCCTAACAGAAAGTAAACTCCATACAGGCAGGGCTTGCCATGTTTTATCTTTGTATCTCTAGGGTCTAACCCAGGCCTACACAACCTGCAACACCTCCAATGAAAAATGTAGAGTAAAACATCCTTTGTATGTAGAGGAAATCCTTTGGCGTGCACGGTAGCTGGCGAGAAGCTATAGTAGGTTGTGTAGGCCTGGTCTAACCCAATGCCTTCCTTGCATACAAATGGCAGGCATTTAATAGAATATTTCTTGAATGACTGTACTCTGCACTCATTAACTTCTTCATTTCTTATTCTTTTTTTAAAATTTCTTTTTTTTATCTCCCTACAGTGCCTAGTATAGTGTTCTAAATATTATTTAAATAGGTTCCAATGAGTACCTTTTAGCCCCTGCCCCTCCCCAGCTCCAGATAACACACTAGAAATGGCACCCCTGTGGGTCCATGCAGTTGGTTTCACTTTGTTCCCTAGCACTGGCAGCATGCCAGAATCCCAAATCACAAAGCGCGGAGGGTCCAACGTAGTAAGAAGAAGCCACCATGGGATCCACGCTGCAGGATGCTGGTTCCCGTCTAGGGGCCATTGTATACAACGATGGAGCATGGCTTCTACCTAGTTTGGAAGGAGCTGGGGGGCTTCACAGAGAAAGCTTTGGTGTTCCTGGGACTCTATTCAGGGCACCACCCTTATTCTTTGGTGCTCACCAAATAGGCAGGGCCTGGTGGAGATCTTCCTGACAAGTGGAGCTACAGTGGTTACCACCCAATCCTGGTGTGTGCCCAACAGCTTCCCACGTCATATACTCATACTTATCCTGACCTGGATGGTGATGGCCACAACCCTAAATTACTGTGTCTGGAGGAATGACAAAGACAAAAAGTGTTGCCATAATGCAGAATAAAGGAGGTCTAAGGTTTCTGGTTTTGAGACAGGTCTCAGAAACAAGATGAGAGTGTTGCTAAAGCTGACTTGAGGCTCTTAACTGGAAGCCTTCTCCTTAAGCTGGTCAGCTTGACAAAGAACAAAACACATTCCCTCTGTAGTTGGGGACCACCCAAAAAGTGGCATTTCATTTTAAAATTTCTCTACAGGTGTTTCAAAATACAATGTGAAAATTGGGCTATGACCAGTTCCAGCTTTTTAAACGACTCTGAGCTCCACCATAAAACAGTCCTCATGTGTGTCGGCAACCGAACCAAGCCAAGCTTGGTCCCCCCATTTTGGTTATATTATAGTGGCTCATCTTCCCAACTTTTACATGCAAAATAAATGGCTCGATTATATTGTGACGTAGACCTGTGATGTAGATCCTAGGTTCTTTCTGAAACTCACTTAAGTATATACAGTCTGTTCAAGGGAAGATCAAGTGAGTGGCCTGGGAGTCCCAGAATCACAGGATCTAGAGATTCGAGTGGTCCAAGCCATACCTCAAAGAGATCCCCACTGAAACACATCCAACAGCAGGTTGTTCAGCCTTTGCTAGTAGATTTCTAAGGGCAAGGATTCCACTCCCCCTACCAGGCAGCACATTCTACTTTGAGGCGCCCTTAAAGGACTAAGAGTGATTTCCTGCCATCCAGCCTCAATCTGCCTCTCCACAGTTTCTACCCACTGCCACTGGTTCTTCAGAGAACAAAACTAATCCTACTCCAATTTCCATATCACAGTCCTTTTTTTCTTTTGAAAACTTTGTTTTCATATTGTTTGCCTATTTATCTATTAATGATCTTCCTGTATTTAAAAAAACATTATTTAAATAGTATTTACTTTTTGATAGCACTATATTTTAAAGGCAAAAGGACTTAATAAGAAATGGGAGTGGTTAACAAGCTGTCTATGTGTCTATTTCCATTCAGTGTCAATAAATAAAGATGCCCTAAGGTGAGCAAGCAATGATCTCTGGTCTCTTCTTTAATCATTATTAGTTTTTTATTTTTAGGTTTCTAACTGCTTACTTGATGGAGGAGATAAGTGACTCAATTCAACATTTAGCACTGGAAATACAAAGAGCAAAAGCAATAATTTCTGCTCTTGAAGAACTGACATTTTAAGCTGTCAAGAAAGCAAGTGCTCTCTAATACTAGAAGGACCAAGAGGGTTAACTGGTGCAAAAATGTTCTAATTTTACTTTGAAATAAAAATTTTCATCCTATTATCTAATTTCTTTGCCTTATAAATTAAAAAACATGTACTGCATCATGGCTTGGTCCTTTGAGGTATTCTTAAATTCTGCTCCTTCTAATGTGAAATGATGTTTAGAACACTGTACTAAATAGTATGAGAGATAAAAAAGAGAAGAAATGATCCTTACTTTTGAGGAGCTGACGATCCATTAACAATTTATTAAGTTCCTACCATTTGCAAGGAAGGTACTGCATAGAATAAATCCAATATGCAATGTCAAAGTACTTTTACAAGTAATCATCCCTTTTGTCTGATAAATATTAATTTTTCACCAATCTTTGTTATAATTACTACACTTTGATAACAGTTACACTACAGCCATTTGGGCTATTTTTGTAGCCCACATATAATGAAAGCATAGTGTGCATGTTGCCTTAAGAAATGCTGTATGTGCCAACAGATTTTATCTAACCAGTACCCTTTATATTCTACAATTTACCTTCAGGGCCTCAAAGGTGAGTAACACATCATTTGTCCTTTTTAAGTCAATATAGAACATCATCAGCTCCCTTGATCCAAGCTGCATGAAAATGGGAAGCAGCTGAAAGAACAAAAAGAGTAAAAATTCTTTAAGGTTACTCTCCTAACATTCAGTTTCATCCTTTGGGGATAAAACACTTGACCTACTTTTTCTACTCTTCCATAGGAGGATGAAAATATAAATGAAGTCCTTCAGGCTCTTCAGAAGGAAAAGAGGCATTACTCAAGTCAGAAAACAATTATTGCCATTTTCACTGAACAAAAAAATAAAATGGAAATACACACACAATGCAGAAGCCTTTGCTAATTTGGTTCATAAAAACCCATGCTTTATACTATCACAATAGTTTTTCTTTTTATAATAACTCATCTCCCCAAAATATACAGAAAGCTCATCTCAAAGGAAAAAAATACATTTTATACCTCTATACATACCTCCTGATACTCTCCTAGTGGAGTCAAGTACTGAAGAATAAGTCGTTGCTCTATAGCAGAAGTCAAAGGATAAAGGGTATAATTAGTACCAATAACCCAAGGGGACATTTCTGACCAGCTGCTGTTAGAGAGCTCAACAAACATGCGTTCTGGCTCAGAGGTGGAGAAGCCCAACTTTTGTTTGGCTTTTCTGAAGCCATCTCTGTCACCCTGTTTTGCCATTTTACTTTTTTTCAACCCTCCATCCTCAAGTTTGGTGGTTGAATTCACTCTGCTACTGGTCTTATGGCCTGAATCAAGGTGAAAGGAAATCTCCATATCCCCAGAGGTCTCCTCCTGTTCTCCATCCATTGTCATTTCCCCATAGTCCATGTCTACCGCTTCCTCATCCAGTGGCAACAGCGGTTCCGAGGACAACTTTCGAGGGCTGGGACGTTTATTTTCCTGCCGTAAAGTCATTTCATGCACCTGCAGCTCCCTAAGTCGCCGGAGCACTAAAGCCACCTGGAAACACAATTAAGAAAAAGTGAGCAACACCAATGAATGCTACCTTATTCTGCAATCTTAGTTCTACAACCCTAGAACTTAATGGAAAAAAAAAAAACAAGAGTTTCTTAAGCTCACTACCACAAATAAATAAAACTAAATTGCATCATTATCTTTGTTAGTTTAAAAATTTTATTTACAATCAGAATCAAGTCCCATCAATTCCCCATCCCGCGAATATGCCTTCCCTGAGAACCTTTACCTTTAGTTATGAAAGCAGTATTTGCCAAATATTACTGAACTACAGGAATAAAGTCATGACCATAGAAAAAAATTTATTTTTCTACAGGATCTAATAAAGACAACGGTTAAAAAGAGTGCCTCATTTTTTATGTAATAATACATATGAATCTATTAAAGAAATCAATACCAACACAACCAACTTATATAACATATTAACCACTGACTACAGATGCTTGGACCAAGCAAGTCATACCACTGTACCAAAAAGAGACACACTATCAAATTTTTAAGAAACTCCTGTGAAAACAGATTGTTAACTACTTTTCAACAACTTTCACTTGCTATTTTCAAAGTCCACATGGCACTAGAAATACGTACTGATACAGGTGCATCAACATGTCTAATGACACTATATAAATAAACCCTTCCCCAAAACTACCTACAATTTGCCTAACCCTCCCACAAAGTGACAGATGACTCCTGCACTTTTTTTTAAAAACAAAACAAAACCAAAGCATTTCTTTCTAGTGATCTACCAAAACTACTTATCCTGGACAAGCTGACAAGTAACTTATTTAAAAGACAAAAAACATACACTTAGGGCAAAGAAAGATGAGCAATTAAGATAAGGAACACAGTACTGAAAAGTTCAAGAAAGGATATCACATGGTACAATAAAAAGAAAAGGTAAGGGCAGAGTGTACCACCAGGAGACATCTGTGCCACTACACCTGCATCAAGTGCAGCAGCAATCCCACCTGCCCGATGACAAACGGGAGACATATGCGTCAGATTTCAATGGCAGGAAGAAATTTTTATTTACAAAGCATCACCATCCTTCTCTGCCTCCACACAAAATGTATTCCAATCTGGTCATTACCAGCTGTGAGTTCTCATCCCTATAGTTGGCAGCAATATCTTGGTTTTCCATAGCACCTCCCAACAGTCCAGTAGAATAAGTCCTCAGTGGTTGATCAGCCTCTCTTGCCCATTTGAACAGGTTCTCAACAATTCCTTCCTACAGTTTAAGGGGGAGAAAACAGAACAATTCAGAAGGCACACCTTTTCAGAATTCATCTAGGTAAAATTCTGGATTTTCCTCATTTCCTTTCTTTCCAAACCCCTCTCACTCAGCTCATCATCCACAAATTGGGATGCTTTATTTTAAAATTCCTGAATACTTAAGATATATTTCTGAGCAATGTCCAGTCATTATCATAGTTAATTCGTACATACTACATGAGGCAGCAAAACAGGGCACAGACTGACTCAAGGAAAGACCACCTACTATTCTAAAAAAAGACACAACGCAGTTTGGTATCTCCTAAGATTAAATTTTATTGGACATATGACTGCCCCCAAATCCACTTATAGCCTTAACCCATTACAATGTCCACCCTCATGAAATCCCATGCAAACCCACGTTCCTAGAATTTAGAGAGAATGCACTGAAGATATCAATGTAGCCATATGTTAGACCTCTATATACTCATACATGTCCCTCACAGGACTTTGGAGGGTGGAAAAATCCAAATAACTGGGTCTTCTTTCATCTTAGAGCTAACGAACACACATCTCCTGCTCCCCTAATCCCTGTGATCCAAGGTCAAAGCCCGAGTTACAAAACTATTTTCCCTGTTACTTCTGCCCACAATCTCATTCCCATCCAGCTTCATCCCTTCCTAGTTCCTATTCTCTTCTACCCTCCTGTTCCGCTACAACCTCTGGAACACCTAACTCTATTATTAGCAAACTTCCCTAAATCTCATCTCTCACTCTTCTATTCTGACACTCATGATAACTTGCACTCCCTAGAAGATATCACATCCCAGAATACCCTCTCTACTGTGGTTTGCTCTTTCCCTCATCCCTCCTAACAAACTGGATCAGTATTCAACAAACTCCTTACAAACCACCATTACTTCTAGACCCACCTTCTCCTGCCATCACTGTGAAACTGCTCCTTTTTTGAGACGGACTTCATCTACAGTTTTATCACCCAGTCCACATCTTTAGTGCTATAATCTACTGACCTCTAAGGTACTTTTCCTCCTTTCTAATGGCGCTCAGTACCTTACTCCTAGCTACACCTGTCATCATACTTTAAGGACTTCAATATACACAATGATTTTCCATTGAACACACTTAGCCTCCCAGTTTGCTAATCTTCAACTCTCATGAAAAATCTTTACTCCACCTCTGCTATCTACAGGAGTGATGATACTTTAAATTCAATTCAATGAGTACTGATAAAGCATTGAATATGTGTTAGACATTGTATTAGATGCCTGGAACACAAAGACTAAAATGAAAACTGCCTCTGCCCTCAAGAAGTTTACATTCCACTCATCATCAATAACTGTGCCATCTATATAATCTTAAAACCTGAAATTCTCAACTCAGATCAAAATAGCTCATCTCCTTTCATCTTTCACCCTGTTTCACTTTCCCTAAAGTTTACTTTGTCCTCACCAGAGCTTCAAGATTCCTCCATCCTTCCCTAGCCTCCCAATCAGTCATCCTTCCTCTGGTCTCACTGTCCTTGGCTCAGCCACACACTGTCCACCCCTGAATCCCCTCACTCCCTTGTTCTTCTGCCATTCACACACCTTGACAATCTTCAACCCTGGTCATGACCATTATCAACTGTCTCTGCTCCTACTCTCAGACCTATTAAGACCACTGAAGAAAGTCACATTAGCATGTGGTTAGAGACTCATTAAAATAATAACAAGAGTTGACACATAGATGGTGCTCTAATACTTGATAGGCAGCATGACACAGTAAACAGAGGGTCAGTCTTGGAAATAGAAAGACCTGAGTTTGAATCCTGCCTCCAACATATAGTGTGTCACCATAGGCAAGTCACTTAACAGTTCAGTGCCCCCAAGCAATTATCTAAGACCATAATATGTAAATTACAGGTGAACTGCTGAACTGCATTAATGTAAAGAATTTGCATATCACAAGTTCCTGACATCAGTGAAATCACATTATCTGGACCAGAAAAAAAAGAAAGAAAATATAACGTGCCAAGCATTTTACACAATTAGCTCCTTTAATATCCACAATAAGTTTGTGAGGTAGGTACTAAAGGTATTATCCTCCCTATTTTATAAATGAGGAAACTGAAGCTTCAAAAGGTTCTACATGACTTTTCCATGACCACACAACCAGTGAGTATCCCAGGTGGACTTGAAGCCCAGCTCTCTTCCGAATCTAAATTCAGTGCACTTTCCACTATGCCAAAGCACCTCTAAATCACGTGATTCAGGCTCGACAAAATCTTCATTGTCACGGGGGTATCCTGTCATTGTTCCCCCTTTTTCCCCCCCAAAACAATGGATGGTTCACCAAGCAGGGGAAGGAAGACAGACAGACTTGGAAATTAAGGTATTGTAAAAACAAAAGTTATCATTAGACAATTCAATAGATAGCCTTCTGTTTCAAGGAGAAGCTTGGGAAACTACTAAGATCCGACCTCGTATCCTCTACTGGTTTAGTTCTTGGCCCCACTCACTGCCCATCTGTAGTATGTGACCAAGATAAACATACTGATAGATAAGCTCTTCAGGCTGTTCCTCTAAAATGTACCTCATAGTGTGGACAATAGGAACTCTTCATTTACTTGTTTTTTCCTATGTGAGTGACTAGGTGAAACTCTTTGAGTAATGATGAATCTCATCTAGGAGGTTCTGGAGTGTTCCAAAACGTGATATAACCAGGACAACCAGCAAAATCTATAAAGAATAATAATGGAGGCCCCCATCTAAAAGGAACACTTCTATGACTTGGATTCTGTGCTCAATATCCTCCGTTACAAAAGCCAACACAAAACTACCTGTTTCATGTTGCACTTGATATTAACAATGATGAATTCACTTGCAAGGAATCTTGCTTAATTTTGAGGTATGCAGGGGAGACACCTTATTGAAAGAGAGTCTAAATTGGTGCTTTACTCTACTGAATCAAATGCTTTTTAGTCAACAACCAATAAGCACAACGGCATCCTACATTTGTTACATCTTTCAATCAATTGTTTGATTGTAAATATGTGGTCTAGTACAGAGTTTCACTTACAAAAGCCTATTCGTTCTCTACTAATACCCTCACCAAGTAAGACCTCAATGCATATGTAGATTATTCTTACAAAAATTCTGCATAGATGGGAAAGAGCATGTGAGAGAGAGTGTGTGTGTGTAAGTTGAAATTTTCTTGGTCACCTTTTTTTTGGGTACTGAAGACAGAGATTTTTCCTATGCCTTTTGTATCTCTCCCTCTTCAGATACTGGGAGAATCAATCCTTCAATATCCTCATGATCATACAGTCTCCAGCAGTTGCTTTTCCCATCTTTATTCTTTTCAGTGCTGCCTTCTACATCTTCTATAAGTACATCTGGGGCTACAATGTTCAAGTCCAAGTGTAATGGCTCCCTTGATGGAGAAGTGTTACAAAAAATCTTTGCAGATCTTTTCATTAATGTATTGTCCTCTTTCCAGTTTCATCTTTAAATGCTCTCAGAATGACTTTGCTTAGCTGAATTTCTTGCCAAGTTTTCTTTAAATTGGTTTTACCCTCTACTATTTTTATGAGACGAGACTCCAAACCAAACTCCATCATGAGATTTTACAGACAAGTTTATTGTTTAAATTGGGATTGCATTTGGCTGCTCTCTTCATCTGAACAAGAGGTGAATTGTTTGCTAAGGTACTTTAGTGTCATTTAGTCTACTCGAAAGCCTATTGCCAATACCTTCACTTAATTTATACCTACCACTGAGACTTTCCGACTGCTTCATCAGACCCAAATTTAAATCTTGCCTTTAGGTAAGATAATAGTGGCTGAATCAATTTGCACAAATATTTAGAACACAGTATCTGTCTACTCTGAGCAAAGTCTAGCATTAAAATGTTTGTAATGATGGATAGATAGACAGACAGGCCATTTATCAAGTGGTTCCTATGTGTCAGGCACTGTGCTAAGTGCTGAGAATACAAATACAAGCAAAAAGATCGTCCTTGCCCTTAAGAAGCTTACATTTAATACATAAAAAGAAGCTGAAAAGGAAAGGAGGTAAACATAAGAATGAGGGTCCAGGAGTCCAGGGAGTCACGGGTTGAACCAGGTTTGAAGAGAGCATGGCTCACTCCATGAGCACCAAAATCCATAAGGAAATGACACAAATTTATGAGCATAACCCTTTCCCCAAGAGATGACTACACAAAGGATAAGAATAGATAATCCTCAAAATAATTATCAATTCCACAAATTATCAATAACACATATGATTCAAAAACTACGTAAAAAGTATTCAAACTCTTTACTAATCAGAAGAATACAAATTAAAACAACTCAGATACCATATTCATATTACACTAGCAAAGACAGATAGAATGATGAAATTTAATATTGGTGGGATATTATGTAAAAACAAGTATACTATTTTATTGATTATAGACCTGCACCATTGGCACAAAACATTTGGAAAGCAACACATAATAAGCACCACAAAATTTTTCATACCCTTTGATTCAGTAATCCCATTGTAGGATTATAGATATTACTGACAGAAAAAAAATTGTATAAAAATATTCCTAACATCACTTGTAACAGCAAAAATCTGGCAATAATCATATGACCAATAACCATGTGACTAGTCAGCTCAAATTGTAATGTGACGGTAAAGGAACATTATTGTGTTATATAGAAGAAATGTAAAGGGTGAAAAACACAAAGAATTATAGGAAAAGTTATATGAAGCAATGCAGTAAAGACAGTAAAACTAAAAGAATATATATACTGACTACAGCTAGGTGATCAGTGGATAGAGCACTAGGCCTAGAGTCAAGAAGACCAAAGCATAAATCTGGCCTCAGGCACTTCTCAGCTGTGTGACCCTACACAAGTCATAACCTGGTCTGCCTCAGTTTCCACATATGTAAAATGAGGAAAATAAAATAATAAGAGCTTACCTCTCAGAGGTGCTGTGAGAATAAAATGAAATATTTGTAAAGCACATTGAAAACCTTAAAGTACATATAAAATGCTAGTATAGTAATTAAATTACTACTATTAACAAATTCTGGAAAAAACTACACAGAAAAGAAAACTTCCAAAATGAGATAGAAAAATAATGGGATGACTTATTATGATATTAAACTTAACATATATATATATATATATTTTTTAAAAAACAAATTTATAGTTAACAATTGTCAAATTTTTGTTCTTTGTACATGAGTAGTCTTATTAAAGGTTAAATTTATAATTTTTTTAATGTGATGTTTCTAAAAACATTAGAGCAACAGATTTTGTTGAGCATAAATTGTGTACATTATGTTATAAAGTACACAGTGGCACAGAATTTTAGAGATTCCTAAGTTAAACACCTTTCCTTAAATTAAGTACCTTTTCTTGAAATACAACAGCAGTTTCCAGCCCAGGCATGATATCTAACAAGAGTCTGCAAGCAGCGGTGTTCAAAGGAGGCTCTCTGCTTGTCATCACATATGCATTCACCAACTATAAGTAGAAATACAGGAGAAGCACTAGTGAGAAATTCAATCTAGGCAAATTAAGGCAACGTAATAAATTCCTTCATCAAAAAACACCGTCGGGCAGCTAGGTGGTGCAGTGCATAAAGCTCTGGCCTTGAAGTCAGGAGGACCTGAGTTCAAATCCAGTCTCAGACACATGACACTTACTAGCTGTGTGACCCTGGGCAAGTCACTTAACCCCGATTGCCTCACTAAAAAAAAAAAAAAAAGAAAAAGAAAAAAAGAAAAAAAAACACTGTCAATCAATACCTAACCCTTCAATTATTATAGGCAGGCTTCAGGTACACAGCATTGAAGAAGTTAATAAAGAATATGTAGCTTTCACAACAGTGTCCTCAAAATATGACATACTTACATAGAGAAAAATGACATCATGAAAAGTAACTTTTAAGAAATGACAACTCAGCAACTATGGAAGTAAAGGACATTCAAGAGAAATGGGCCAATCAAGTAAGAGAAATTCTCCACCCAGTTACCATATATGTCAGCCACAAGGGCTGAAAGAGGCACTATATGTCATCTGATCCTTGGCAATGACTGATCAACAATAACCAGGGTCTCTGAATTCCAAAAAAGTTTATATAAACAGATTTACAAAAAGGATACAATGATTAAACTTCATGCTTTAAAATACAGCATAATTCCAATTCACAAGAAAGACCACGGGGGGGGGGGGAATCAAACAAATAATTATTGAAAACAAGGCACTGTGCTAGAAAAAAAGAAACCTTTTGACACCTCTCACTCAATGCTTTTACAAAAAATATGTCTACTCTTAAAAAACAATTACAATAAGCCACACTTCCTCCATTACTTTTTTACCTTGCAACCCCGGGAATAGGGGAGTGAAGTAGACACCCACATGCTAAGATCAAACATCCTGTAAACTAAAAAAGAACCTTGGGATGTCTCATGGATCACCCTGAAACTGAATAAATTTAAAGACAAATGAGAGAACACCTTAGTGAAAATCTAGTACAAATCTACTACCAGGGAAGCTCATTTAATACTTTTCTTCCAAAGAAACTAACATCATATAAAACAAATCTACCCCCTCTAATTTCAAGTTGCTGCAACCTAGGTCACTAAGATAAAGTAAATTAATTACAAAAGATAATAAAATTATAACATTTGCTGATTACAATATATATATAAGAAATAAATAAAAAAGCAAACCTACTGCATTCATGAAATCATCATTCTTGAACAGTATTCTCAATAGGTGGCCCAACATACATTCTGGATCAGCTCGACCTAATAAGAGAAAAGGAGAGGAACAAAGGTTATGAATCAGTCATTCCAATTTCTTCTACATAGTCGGAATACTCAAAGGAGATCCAGGATATTGATAATTTTTTTAAAAGAAGAGGGGGAAGGAAGAAGCAAAAAATACATATATAAAATAATCTGGAAAAACTGGATTTCAGAAGTATTTCATAGTCAGTCATGCAATAAACATTTATTAAGGGCATACTGTGTGCCAGGGAGTACAAAGAAAGCAAAGAACAGTCGTTGCTCTCAAGCTACAATCTAATGGGGAATACAACATACAAACAATTATGTACAAACAAGATAGATATAGGATAAATTGGAGATAATCAACAGAGAGAAGGCAATAGAATTAAGGAGGATCAGGAAAGGCTTCCTGTAGAAAGTGAGATTTTAGCTGAGACTTCAATGAAGCAAGGAAGCAGAAATGAGGAATGAGAATACTTTTAGTGTGGCATTTTTTTTTTGCAAGGCAATTGGGGTTAAATGACTTGCCCAGAGTCACAAAGCTAATGTTATACGCCTGAGGCTGAATTTGAATACAGGTCCTCCTGACTCCAAGGCCAGTACTCTATCCACTATACTACCTAGTTGCCCCTTGGATGGCATTTTTAAGGGGAATTTTTGAAGGGCACCATGTTACTTTTCCAGTACTAGATGTAGATTCAGGAGACCTAGATTCAAATATTACTTTATTTAACCTGTGTGACACTGGGCAAGCCACTTAACTTCCCTGGGCCTCTGTTTTTTTTTTTTCAACTATAAGATGAGAAAGTTGAACAAGATATCCACAATTCCCTTGCAGCTCTAAATCTATGATCCTATGAATACTGGTCTAACAAAAAATAGGGTTGAAGAGGCTGTATCATAGGAGGTTAAGAAAAAAGATCTAGCCTTCCAACCAAATATTAGGTTAAAACAGACATAATAAGGAGGCTTTGGGGGGTACAAAGCATACAGCTGAAAGAAGAGGCTGATTTTGTGACTAGACTCCTCCAGAAAAACAGCAATAAAACAATAGTAACATCTCCTCCCACTAGCAAAAACACCCCCCCCAAAAAAAATACGCCAGCTAATCAATCACCAAGTTCTTAGAGAGGCAACAGCCACTGTCACCTTAATTTCTCACCTACAGTCTTGAGTAGGGATAAATAAGAGAAGCAAGCTGTTGACCTAGAGTATGTGAAATAATAATAATAATGATAATAATAATAATAATAATAATACTTATACCACATTTACTATGCACCACACACTTTAAAAATATTATCTCATTTGATCCTCACAACCTCTCTGGGAGATAGATTCTATTATCTCCATTTTACGATGAGGAAACTGAGGCAAACAGAGACTGTAACTTGCCCAGAGTCATACAGGTAATGAGCATCTGAGGCTAGATTTGAACTGAGGTTTTCCTGATTCCAGGCCCAGTGCTATATCCATTGAGCCATCTAATTGCCCCTAAGTATGCCCAAACTAAGGTTAAAAGAGAGATTTTTTTAAAAGTTTCAGTAATCACTGTTATGCATTAATTTAATAAATGCCATCATTTTACTTTCCTTTTAGGCTTAAGATGACAAAACCTCACCCATAACTCAGTTTGGGGCTACAGAAAAAAAAAGATTGAGAGCCGCAAAGAGAAAGGATACTTAAACTGCTGCTTGACTGTAAGTGGAAGTCACAAAGGTATACTATCAAAAACAAAATGTTTTAAATTGCAAGGATCTTTGAATCATTTAATCCATGACATGCAATTTTTACAAATTAAAAAACTAAGACCTTATGTTGTTACTATTAACAGAATTTAATGTAACTAAGATCTTAAAAATTAATTTTACAACTTTAAAAGAAAGATATCATTCTGTCCTTTCCATTTCTCCATGAAAACTTCTGGCATTTTCTTCTGACATCTGCCTATTTCCTATTCATATCTTCTTCCATAATTCCCCCATTTTAGTGATTTTACATTTATCTTTAGATTTCATCACACTCTCAGGCATTTACTGAAGGTATTGACCAAACGTATTTTCATTTCTGTAAGGTTACATATGGAAAACTCTAGTGAAAGTATGGTTGAGGATGTAATATGAACCCTTTAGATACTCCCATTTTGGAAGGCCTAATTAATGTACTTGTGTTTGAGAACATTATGGAAGATGCCAGAATAATCAAGTGGTTAAGAAATTATTTTTTTTCTCTCATGTCTTCCATCTTCAGTCCTATTATTCAAAAATACACCCAAAATTTCAGATTTATTCAAAAGAGATGGTAGGTATGACACAATGGAAAGAGTTATCTATCTAAAGTCAGAACCTGGGTTCAAATCCTGGCTCTATCATTTACTACGTGTGTGACTTGGGACAAGCCACAATTTCTCTATGCCTCAGTTCCTCTTTTTTTTAATTTTTGGAGGCAATCAAGGTTAAGTGACTTGCCCAGACACCGCTAGTAAGTATCGGAGACTAGATTTGAACTTGGTCTCCTGACTCCAGGTCTGGTGCTTTATCTACTGCATCATCTAGCTGCTCCCCTTTTTTTTCCAGTTCTTTTTTTAAATGAGATGGAGCATTCCTCCTTCCTTCCTTCCTTCTTCATCAACAAAAATAACCAGGAGAATCAAGGGTGGAGCCAAAATGGCAGAGTAAAGGCAGAGCCTCACCTGAGCTCTCCCAAATTCCCCTTCAAACAACTTTAAAATAACACTTCAAAACAAATTCTGGAGCAGTAGAACCAAAAAAAGGACGAGAGGAAAAAATTTTCCTGCCCAAGACAACTGAGAAGGTCAGCAGGAAAGGTCTGTCTCACTGGGGTGAAAGTGAAACATAGCCAGCGCATGCTATACAACAGCAAGCCAGCAGCAGACTTTCTAGGCAACTGCAGAGCCTGTAGCGGCGTCCAGAGCTCTCAGCCAAAGATGATACAGGGGTCAGACAACTTATCAAAAGGAGATTAGAGGGGGCCCTCTGCTGGTACTGAGTGCAGGGCCCCATCCCATTGCCCATACAGGGTTACAGGTCACAGTCCCAGGATGAAAATGAGCACTAGCACATTAGAGTACATGGCCACAGGGCAGCAGAAGATACTGGTCACAGCTGTAGAATGGAAAAGGGTACTTGTGGTCACTCACAGTCTAGAGCACATGTCAGAAGAGCAGTGACCACACCTCTACTTAGATCATATCACCTTAGAAAACTGAAAACTTACAAATCCCCAGAACTAACTAAAAATAGCAGCCCAAAAACTTGAAATTTGGGACAGTGCCTTCTCCACCCCAGGAGCAGAGCCCAACTTTAACACAAAGTTATAAATCAAGAAATAATCTGGAAAAACAAGCAAGCAACAAAAAAACAAACTTGACCATAAAAAGTGTTACTACGGTAACAAGGGGGAATCAAGACACAAACTCAGAAGACAAGAAAGTCAAAACAGCTGCATGCAAAGCTTCAAAGAAAAATGTGAATTGGTCTCAGACCCAAAAAGAATTCCTGGAAGAGCTCCATAAGGAGCTCCTCAAATAAGAAGACACCTAGAGGAAAAATTTGAAAAACAAATGACAGTTATGCAAGAAAATCAGTAAAGCAAACAGCTTGGATAAGGAGCTACAAAAAATACTCAAGAAAATAACACCTTCAAAAACTAAGACTAGGCCAAATGCTAAAACAGTCAGGAAAATCCATCCAAGAGAACAACTCCTTTAAAAGTACAATTAGATTAACAGAAAAAGATGGACGAAAATTCACTCTTGAAAAAAACAAGTCCCAAAAAACTAGGATTGGATAAATGGAAATGACAAAAACTCACTGTAGAAAATCATTCCCTACAAATTACAATTGGGTAACTGGAAGTTAATGGCTCCAAAAGACATCAAAAAAAATCTAAAAAAATAAAAAACAATGAAAAAATACAAGAAAAGCAGAAATATCTCATTGGAAAAACAACTACTAACCTGGAAAATGAGAGATCATTTAAGAATTATTGGGTTAATTGAAAACCATAATCAAAAAAAGAGCCTAGGCATCATCTTTAAAGAATTATCAAGAAAAACTGCCCTGATATCCTAGAACCAGAGGGCAACAGAGAAATGGAAGAATCCATTGATCACTTCCTGAAAGAGATCCCAAAATGAAAACTCTCAGGAATATTACAGACAAATTCCAGAACTTCCAAGTCATGGAGAAAATTCTGTAAGCAGCCAGAAAGAAACAATTCAAATAACATGGAGCTAAGCCAAAGTCAGAGTAACACAAGATTTAGCAGCTTCTACATTAAAGAATCAAAAGCCTTTGAATATGATATTCTGGAGGGCAAAGGAGCTTGGATTACAACAAAGAATCAACTAACCAGCAAAACTGGGCATAATCCTTCAGAGGAAAAAATAGACATTTAATGAAATAGAAGACTTCCCAGTCTTCTGAAAGACCAGAACTGAACAGGAAACCTGACTTTCAAGAACAAGACTCAAGAGAAGCATAAAAAAGGCAACGTGAAAGAAAAACCATATGGGATTCAATAAGCTTAAACTGTTTACATTCCTACATGGAAAGATGAACTTTTTCCTGTATCAAATATGGGATGATATCTGAAAAAATTAAAATAAGGAAAAAGAAAGAGTAAGTAAGAAAAAGTAAAAAAAGGAGAAGGGGAAGGGAGAGGTTAGAATGGGATAAATTATCTCACACAAAAGAGGAGCAAAAGAGCTTTTACAGTGGTGGGAAAGATGGGGTTGGGAGTTATTTGAACCTTGCTCTCATCAGAATTGGCTCAAAGTGGGAACAGCATACATACCCAGTTGGGTATAGAAATCTAGCTTATCCTACAGGGAAGCAGGAAGGGAAATGAATAAAAGATGGCGAGGAGGACTGAAAGAAGGGAGAGAAGATTGGGAAGGCAGTGGTCAGAAGCAATACACTTTTGAAAATGGACAAGGTGAAAGGAGAGAGAAAAAAGGATAAATGGGGGGAAATAGGATGGAGTAATCATAACTA